GTGGGTTTCATGTATACTGATCTAAAGAAAAGCTTTGCGTATGTCTGCTATAACTCCTATTTTACCTGATTTGATCAAATTAACAACCCCTTTCTTCAAATGCTAATTTAATGAAAAGGCAACGCGTTCCTTGGCTGAAGCATTAAAGACAGGTCGAATGCGCGTATGGTATTACCCTTTTTTACTACAGGTCTGTGTGGCAAATAATGAGCAACATCATCGGATATAGAATATCTTGTTGAAATGTCCTCTATAATGTGTTAATTTTCCCATTCATTGAAAACTTGATTGTAGGAATTTACAACACTACTTGCCAATTTCGTAGGCAAAGGGGGGTGTCACTCGACCCAAGCTAGTCATAACGTCAATCTTCATTAATATTCACCGTTTCAAGGGGAAATTCTGTAGCTGCCTGAGTCAGTTGGTCACGTGATCGCTTTCCGGTAGATTCCTTTATACCCAGAGTATCAAGCTGCCAAAGTTGAGTAAGTGATGCGTCGTTGGCAAACAAAAAAATAGCTGTTATAGTTTTGACTATAAGTATTTGGCCCATAAATGTCCATCCTAACAATGGTTCCATGGGCACCAACCCAAACTTCAAAATATGTCTTCCTTCGATGTAGAGTTTGCTAGCAACGTTCGATCCAATCAAATTTTTTTTTCTATAGGGGTAGCATCGTAACAATCACTAAGCTGAATGCCTAACTTCTTCAATTCTTCCATCAGAACTTGATTTAAACATCATATGAATCATATTTCAACTGTGTACTTGCTCCTCCAAACAAACAATGATTAAGCTTGGATTTGTAATCTAACAATTCTGCCATACTTTTTAAAATATAACTATTTTGAGAACCTGTATCCACTACTGCTCGTACACTCCTGAACCCATACATTCCTCTAAAGTTTGGAAAAACACATGGCTAGAAGTCCCATCAGTACAAGTTAACATTTCCACCGAATCCTGATTAGATTTTTTGTCATCTAAGAATCATCAACTGGCAAATTAAAACACATTGAAATTACATGGAATTTGCCACAAATAATATATTTCAAACAAGCTCGACACTTCTGGCTCTGGTGTCCAATCTTCACACACCTTTTTTGGAGTAACAATTTTATTCCTTTTTTCTAGTGAAAAATTTTCTGCTTTAAAACAACTGTGACTATCATGATTGTTCTCACAAAAAATGCTGGTTAATTGAGACCAGTATCAGTGGGAACTTTTTGCTCAGAGAAACTTGTGAACTTCTTTCTCCCTCCCACCATTCCATAAGCACCAGCGATATTAACATTGGTATGTTTCTGTTTCGAACATGTACACAAACCAAAACTTTCAGTGGCTAGCAAGATCCTCTGTGCATTTTCTACCTCGTTGCGCAAAAACTGAATTAGACTATTCAATCTACTCATGGAAGAACCATTTACATCGGTAGGATTAGTATTAGTTAGAGATGAACGTTGCCACACCGTTAACAAATTTTCTGGCAAACATGACTCAATGTGGGAATAACATTGCAGAACAACTATCAGATTTAACGCCCAGAGTGTCCAAAGTGCGCATTTGTGTCAAAATTGTCAAAATTGAGAAAAATCAAAAAAAAAAAAAGTTTTTTTGCTTTTTCCTAAGGCTACCCTTTGGATTTTTATTTGCAAATCCTCAAATCTCAGTATCTCGGTAAGCAAAGGCAGTACTGGGACAAAACTTCCAGGAATTGTAGCCCTTGAAAAGGGCTTCAAAATAGCATTTACTTGGAACTGCTAGCATTTAGGGTTTTTCAGAAAATCGAGTTTGAAGTTTTAGACAAAATGTCGACTATATTTTAAATTTAGAGCTCAATGGGTGGTATGAATAAAAACGAAGTACTTGCTACTGCTAGAAGTATTAGTATGTTCTACGTAGTATTTACTTGAAAACGAAGTAGATACTACATTTCGAAACTACCAAAATGTAGTATCTACTTCGTTTTGAAGTAAATACTACGTAGAACATACTAATACTTGTAGTAGTAGCAAGTAGGTACTTCGTTTTTATTCATACCACCCATTATCTCGAAAACTGCATAAGTTATCAAAACCAATCTTACACAGTTCAATAGAGAATTTAATACTCTTTTCAATCGTGTATAATTAAAGTTAATTTGCTCAAATTTTAACGAAGATATAAGCAATTGTTCATGAGCATATCAAGATTTCATAAAATTTCCAGAGCCAAAATTGAGATTTCCTTCTGGATTTTTTTTCTGATCGAAATTCCCAAATTTTACTGGTGTTAGAGTTGTTTCTGACTAATTTGGACTCGCTCTGTCGATTTATAAAGTCAAAATTGAGGAAAAATAAAAATTTTGATTTTTTTCTCTTTTTCCTTTGGATTTTTATTCGCAAATCTTCAAACCTGAATATCTCGGTAACCAAAAGCGGTAGTTGCACAAATTTTTCAGGGATTGTAGTCCTGAATAAGGGCTTTAAAATGGTATTTAGTTGATATTACTAGCATTCAGGGTTTTTGAGAAAATTGAGTTTGAAGTTTTAGACAAAATATCAACTTAATTTCAACTTTGAAGCTGGATATCTCGGAAACTGCATAAGCTAATTTTGCACAGTTTTATAGAGAATTTAGTACTCTTTCCAACAATGTATATTTGTAGTTAATTTGCTCAAACTTCATTGAAGATATAAGCAATTATTCATGAGCATGTCAAGATTTCAATAAAATTTCAGAGCCAAAATTAAGATTTCCTTCTGGATTTTTTTTCTAAACGGAATTCTCAAATCCAACTGATGTTAGAGTTGTTTCTGACTAATTTGGACTCGCTCTATCGATTTTTAAAGTCAAAAATGAGGAAAATTGAAAAATGAACATTTTTAATTTTTTGCTCTTTTTTCTAAGGGTATCCCCTTTGGATTTTTATTTACAAATCTTTAAACCTGAATATCTCGGTTACCAAAAGTTGTACTGGTAAAATTTTCAGACCCTTAATAAGGGCTTTGAAATGGTATTTAGTTGAAATCGCTGGAGTTTGCGGTTTCTGAGAAAATCGAGTTCGAAGTTTTGGACAAAATTTCGACTAAAATTCAACTTTGAAGCTGGATTTCTTGGAAAGTGCACAAGCTATCAAAACCATAATTTTGCACAGTTTAATAGAGAATTTAATACTCTTTCCAATGATACATAATTATAGTTAATTTGCTGAAATATTATAAAAGACATGAGCAACTATTCATTGGCGTGTCAATTTTCAAACCTAAAAATGAGATTTCCTTTTGGATTTTTTCACCCATCAAAATTTCCAAATGTAACCGATAATGGAGTTCTTTTTGACTGATTTGGACTCGCTTTGTCGTTTTTCAAAGTCAAAATTGACAAAGATTGACCCTTTATAGGAAAAATTAAGCATATTATCAAAGTTAAAATGAACTTGCACGTCTGTGTATAATCTAATATGAAGCTTGAAACATTATTCCATAATTTAATGTGATAATACGACGAGGGGTTTCTGAAATTGGCTCTATAGTTTATAATTCTATCCTAAAATAAATGTTAGAAAAACTTATATCTCTTTTGAAAGTTTGTCTGGATCCAATTAATCTGGTCCAGTGGCTTCAAGGCCTTTTAATTCAATATTAAATAATTGTCCTTGTAATTCACTTTTAATTAATTGTTAATGAACCATTTCGCAAGAGGGAGAAAAGCGAGGAAATGATCTAATTATTTTCTCGGGTTTCTTATTGGGTTTTGACAAAGTATATTTTACTTTCCTATAATTCTAAAAGAGAAACTGAAAGTCTTCCTTTACAAATACCTACTTTGATAGTTTCAAAAAGCCTTACATGTTTCGAGATTATCAGAGGCAAATTAGCTCATATAAGCTAACATGTATAGGGCTTTTTGAAACTATTAAAATAGTTATTTGTGGAGGAAGATTTTGAGTTTTTCTTTTATTAGAATTCTGGATATCTCTAACACTATCCATTCACAAAAACAAAAAATCCCACACCGCTTAAACATGGAGGCTTTCAAGATTAACCTTCAGTCAATGGCTTTTTAGCTTTTAATTTCCTTAAAACCGAGGAAATTCTTTTAAAATGCTGTTAAGTGGTCGCACTCCAGTTTCGCCTTGTGCTGACTAATCAGTCGGCCTTTTTTCTGCTGGCCTTTTCAAAAAATTATTATTGTCAAAGTGTGTGTAAATTTTTGAAAGTATACCAACAGCAAGCTAAAAACTTCTGACGCAGATTAATTTAAGGAAATTTTTTAAACAAATCACAATCGATTTACTCGTTTTAGAGGATAGAAATTCCTTGCCATTAGCCCAGTTTCTTGTGTACCAACCTAAAACTGACGATTTCAAAGACAAACAAAACGGGAGTTTGGCAAATAAAATTCTATTTTTATTTTCTCTTTATATAAATATAGAAGCTAGAAAATTTCTACAGCAAATCAAGAGTTGATCATTATCGAAATTTGAACTATTACCGGTTACAAGTCTTAAATTTTTCCTTTTGTTGCTGCTTTTTACGAGCTCAACGTGCTCTATTATTGTCTCGAGGATTCTAGGTTTATTAGGACTTTAATGTTTTTCAATAAAAAGAAGCCACCCGATAGCTGATTTATATTTATTAATTTATATTTTATTTTATGTCATCGTTTTCTGTGATTTAGGAGCCAATAATAATTGATTTTATTTGTCCATAGAAGTGGCTTTTTGATATTCCATTCTTTGGTTTCTTCAGAACTTTTATCTTTCTATTTTTATTCCGTATTTTATTTTTTTTAGCTTTTTTCTGTCTTTTTTTTTTTCGGTTATTCCAGTTATTCTACTAAATCTCTCCACTTTTAATTCCAGCTTTCTCCTCTGTTTATTGTTGAAGAACATTCTACAGTCTTTTTTCCATGCTAGAGTGACTCTGTTGCAGTTCGCTAGTTGCTTTAGAAGTTGCTGACAGTCCCAGATTAGTCTGGATCAGTTGGCAGTTGATGATATTCCATTTAATTCCAGATTAACCATCAAACATTTCTTCACGATGCACTTCAGCCCAGTTCTGAGCACAACCGTATTTCTGATCTGTCTCAAAGTCAGCTGCCTGCTGTCCCTAACTAAATCTAGACGATTGCCTCAGAAGAACAACCACCAAAACATCTCGGCACTTTTGGACAACTTATTAAAAGGTTACGACAACAGTGTACGACCTAATTTTGGAGGGCCTCCAGCCGTAGTTGAAGTCGACATTATGGTCAGAAGTATGGGACCAATATCGGAAATGGATATGGTAAACAATAGAATTGTGATGTGAAAGATTTATAGAAATTGTTTCCAGACTTATTCCATGGATTGTTACTTTCGTCAATCCTGGATTGATAGGCGGTTGTCATTTTCTGGACACGATAACGACACCTTAGCTTTGAGTATTACAATGCTAGAGCGGATTTGGAAGCCGGATACTTACTTTTACAATGGCAAACAATCCTATCTTCATACAATTACGACACCGAATCAGTTTGTCAGATTGTACCACGATGGAAGGGTTCTTTATTCGTCCAGGTAAGAATTAATTGTTTAGGTTTTAATTAAAATCGATACATGGAATCTGTGTGGACCCTTCTCCAGTTAATTTCAATTTAGGAGGATTCTGTATACCTTGAATTTCAAAGTAGTTTTATTTTGTTTGACTTTAGAGTCAAGTTGGTTTATAAAATCATTCATTTTTAATGCATTTTTATGTCATATTTAGAGAAAAATTGCTTTTCCCAGAATCATACATATTGTATTAAAAGCACAAGAGACCCAACAAGTCTGAATTGTTCCAGCTTAAATAATAAATTCTTTGCAAATTCTTATTTAGCTGCCCCCTTTGTACGAAGTACTTTGAAAAATTCACATATTACGTTTCTCTAAGGCTAAGGTGATGTCCCAAATAGTTTAAATTCCTATATACAATTTTCATAAGTTGAAATGAAAAAGCAGGATTTGTCCCAATTAAAATTAGTTTTTTTTTTTTCGGTTTCATAACTGTCCAAAATAGTTAAAGTTGCCGAAACGGAAACATTGTCCCAGTAAGTGTGGACATTAAATTGAAGCGGCCGGGCCATTCGGGTCGTTAAATATAAATCCTGGTTTTATTAATAATTAAAAATGAGGCGTCTGTGATGATTTTGAAGCTAGAAGTTTTTGAGTAGATACTTAGAAATGCTTTTAATAAATATTGTTTCAATAGGAGTTCTCAAATTTTTTACTTTATAAAAATCGATAGATCATTATTTTATTTGAACAGTGTATTATTGAGTATATACCTACTACAAGAACCTTGGGCTTATAAGGGCCGCGTAAGAGGATCAAGCAGGGTGGAAAGATCTCTTTTCTATAAATGAGACTTCTAACTGAACCCAAGGACTTGCATCTATGTCAACAGACGGACCCCATCCAAACAATGCCTTGATACGCATAAACAAAAATTATCTGTAGGTATATGCGTCAAGACTCCGGAGATACAAAGAGTTAAACGAAAGGAAAGACACTAACAACCTCTTCCTAAGAAATGAGAAGCAAAATCTACCAAAGAACCATGTCCAGCCAAGAAGCAAGAATAATAGAACCACCAGACAAACAAGAACTAACCAATTACTGGAAGAGCATGTGGTCAGAATCAAAACAGCATAACAACAACAACACCTGGATTAAAACCAACACAAACATATACCAGAATAACCAGATTTTATACTTATAACAGAAGAAATCACAAATACAATCCAATACACACACAACTGAAAATGCCCTGGCATAGACAACATTTAAAACTTCTGGTATGAACAGTTTACAGCTACACATGAAGCTCTCACACACCAATTTAACAAAATCATCCAAGAACCACAGAGGTTTCCCAAATTTCTAACCAAACTATAGACCTATCACCTGTCTTCGAACGGTATATAAGATCATCACAGCTACAATCTGCAAGAAAATCGAACATCACCTCACAATTAACAACATACTAACAGAAAAACAGCAAGGGCTGTGAAGAGCAGCTGATTATAGATAGTGTCATCATGGGACAAACTAAAAAAGATAAAAGAAACCTCCACATAGGGTAAATAGATTATAAAAAAGCCTTTGACTCCCTACCCCATAGCTAGCTGATGAAATTTCTTGAAATCTACAAAATCAACAAGAATCTCAGAGAGTTTCTTGCACAAATCATGAAATCCTGGAAAACCAAAATCCGACTAAATACAGAAACCGAATACATCCAAATTGAACTGAAGAACTCCATGTCAGACGTGGTATTTTCCAAGGCGATTCACTTAGAGCTCTATGATTCTGCTTCTGTCTTAATCCACTCTCTAATACACTTAACAATACGAAGCACGGTTTTCAACTAAGACACAAGAAAGAAAACCAACACCAAATAAACCACTTACTGTATATGGATGACATCAATCTCTACGCGGCCACGGAAACACAGTTGAAAAGCCTCCTCAAAATTACAAAAACATTCACCTCAGACGTCTGTATGGAGTTTGGGATAAGTAAATGTAGAGTACTCCTTATAAACAAAGGCCAGTGAAAAAAACATCATGATGTCCAAACCGTCGATAGTGAAACACTAGACAACATGCTCAGGAATAAAACATATAAATACCTACCTAGGATTCCATCAAAGTACCAAATTCAATCACACTCAAACTTACCTAGAAAACATTAACATCCTTATGCGCTCTGAACTTACCAAACACAGAAAGTCACACCCCCAATTCATGCAAGGAAAGGCTAACAATCAAAAGGAATGAAGGAGTAAGAGGAATTGTAGACGTAACATCACTACACGCAAGCGAAATACAAGCACTTAGGTAATTCTTCCATGCTAGACAGACTGGGCTCCACACAGCGATAAGCATAGCGGATAAAAACTATATACCCCTCAACCTATCCCAAACTGCATGGACAGCACAGATACCACATAAAACAAGATTACATTGATCAAAAATCATCACACACCTGGTTAGAGGATGGTCAGCTCTTTCCCGAAACAGAAGGATTCCTGCTCGCGATCCAAGATAAGGTCATAGCAACCAGAAATTATCAGCAATATATTATGAAAGATCCGGCTACAGCAGTTGATACATGCAGGAAATGCCACACCTCCAAAAGGAAATAATTGAGCATATTACAAGTGGTTGCAAGTCCCTATAGCTGGCTCAGAATACACAGCAAGACATAACGCAGCAGTAGAAGTAATCCACCAAGCACTGGCCACAGCATTCAAACAAATAGAAAACACAGAGCCATACTACAAATACACACCATCGTCTATATTCGAAAGCAAGGATTTCAAACTATACTGGAATATCAATATTCAGACAGATAAAACAATATTCGCCAATAGAGCAGATATCACCTTTCAGTTAAAAAGAGAAAAAATCACATACCTAATTGACATTGCTATTCCCAGTGATAAAAGCATCCAGACAAAGTACAATGAAAAAATCTGTAGGAAAAAGTTACTATTATCCCCCTGATTATGTCAGTAACAGGCCTCACACCCAAAACATTCAATGGTATTTGCAGAGGAAAGAAGACCAGAGAATGGACAGCTCAAGACAACAAAAACACCCACAGTAATTAGCAAAGGTTTTCACTCAGAAAATATCTACCTACTCCTGACTGGAAACCACCTGAAAGAGGGCACTTTGAACTGCTATCTCCAACAAAAAATCAAAATGAGCCAAAACACATAACCAAGATACATGATCCACTCAAGAATTGGAGAGAAAAAGGTAACCAAACCCAAAGAAAACAAGGAAAAGACAGAGGATCCTCTAAGAATCGAAAGAAAACAACAAACAAGCGTAACAACAGCCAATCAAAGAAAGACCCTAACCGAAAGAAAAATGTAAACCTGAAAAAAAAAATATATATAAAAAGTTTAAACAACAATTGGAAGAAGACAAGAAACAAGACCGAATAAGGAACAATCTTGGAGGTGGCCAACACATATGAACCTGAAAGCAGAAGCTCTTGTAACAGCGTGCCACTTGCAACAAATTACATGCAGACAAGGATCATGAAGACCCGAAATGTAGACTCTGTCGGTCATACAGTGAGACTGTCCGTCATATGGTGGCTGAATGCCCAATCTTGGCAAAAAGTGCTTACCTTGAACGTCATAACAAGGTTGTAACACAGCTACACCTGAACATTTGTAAGCACTACAAATTAGAAGTTAAAAAAAAAAAAAAATGGTTTGAAAATATCCCGGAAGCAGTTCTAGATACACCAGAAATAACTATACTATGGGATGTTCAAGTGCAGATTGACAGATACATAGCATCAAATAAACCAGACATCATATTAAAGGATAAGAAATAAAGAAGGTGTCTGCTGATCGATGTTGCTGTGCCGTCAGATTATAACATCACGCACAAAGAAGCAGAGAAAAAGTTGAAGTACAAAGACCTGCAAATAGAAATACAGCGAATGTGGAATTATAAAACTAAGATCATACCAATAATCAACAGGGCTGATATCCAACGTTACTTATGAAGCGATAAGAGAAATCTCTGGAACACATAACCTCCTGGTGATGCAGAAAGCTGTAGTGTTGAGTACAGCGCTCATAGTACGCAAAGTGCTATGATCCTGAAGTCAGCTAAACAAGGGAACACCCCAGGTGCATGGTTTGCACTCGGTGATTCCTCAAGAACGAAACCATAACCCAAGAGTAGTTATGTGATGCAAAGCCAAATAAAAATAATGTACTGTTTTAATGTTAGAAAAACTTGTCGAGGATACTACTCCTGCTAGTTGGTATATTTATCCACTAAAATAGATGATTGGGAAACGGACCAACAAAATCTATATATATGTAGTTGACATGGGGTATCTGGTAATTTTGATGAAATAATTGGATCTCTGTGTTTTATATCTGTTACGGCTTGGCAGGGTGTACAATTTTTGATAAATGTTTCTGTTAATTTATCGATGTTTGGAAACCGTAGCAACTGCTTTGATTTTACTATACCCATGTGTCCTTTATGTGCTAATTCTATAGTTCTGTTGTTTCTGGTGGCTGCTTGAACTTGAACTGTTGCTTTAGGTATCGATGTGTGCACTAAAAAGTTCACATGATTTTCCTGTTTGATGCACAACTTTAAATTCATAGGGTTGGATTCTTACTAAAAGTCTCTCAATGGGAGCACTAGGACATGACTACTTCCTAAAATTTTCACAGGTGGTAGATGATCAGTATGAAGTATGAATTTTGAACTAAGCAAATATACAGGGTGTCCCAAAAAGATACCGACAAATTTTAAGGGGTAGTAAGGGACATCAAAACAAGCATTTTTGTTTATATAAACATATGTCCGCAAATGAGCCATTTGGGCTCTAGAGCAAAAAAACTTTCTGGTACTTTCATTCTTCGCAATAATTAAATCACTGTTTACTTATTAGATTTGCTTTATTAACAAATAAATTATGGTTTACAAAAATTGTTCAAAATGTTGACCATTTACTTCAATGCAAAGATTACACCGCCGGGTCATTGACTATTGACTGAAAAGTTTAGTCTACGAAACACCTTTTCGTAATGAGGAAGATCTGATAGCAAGGATACTGGCGAGTTGTACCCATGTAGAAGCTATTCCTGGAATATTCCAAACGGTTCGCGAGTCAATGACCCGACAATGCAATCTTTGCATTGAAGTAAATGGTCAACAAACAGTGATTTAATTATTGCGAAGAATTAAAGTACCAAACAGTTTTTTTGCTCTACAGACCAAATGGTTCATTTGCGGACATATGTTTATATAAACAAAAATGCTTGTTTTGATGTCCCTTACTACCCTTTAAAGTTTGTCGGTATTTTTTTGGGACCCCCTGTATATTGAAATGTTGAATTGACCATTTACATGCTAATGTTTTCTTGTCTATCTGGCTGTATCTTTCTTCAGCCTGTGTTAATGTTCTACTACGCCTACACGATTATGTTACTTCCTGTTAGCAATGAATCAAGACCTTCATATCTAGCATCAACAGAAAGATCAGTTGGTTTGTTGATATTGAAATACCATAAAGTAGTAGGTAGCTTGTGATAACTGCTGGTTTAAAATCTCAAATGTCCTGTTGTGTTCCGAATTCCAGTTGTGCGTTTTTAAGTGTTGAATCTCTCAATATTTTCGTATTTTCCGCTAAATTAGGCAAGCATTAGGTTCTCCCCTTTCTAGTAATGTTCTATTCATACGTTCTGATATTCCATTTTCCTGCATACTCGAGCTGAACACCCTTTTAGTTCTGCAAATTTTTTAAAAATAATCTGGTATAAATTCCGCTCCGTTATCTAACCTTATTCTATTTGTTTTTAAACTGTATTAAGTTTTAGTTAATCGAACAAAATCAATAACATTTTGATGAATCAATGAAACAATTCACCACTGTTCTAAATCCTTGACATCTGACATGTGCTTACCATATTATGTTGAGTGCATCCTGAATCCAGGATGAAGCTGTTTACTGCACGTGATAAGCTTACAGTGCTTAATACAATGAATGCAATTTCGTCTGCCTTATTTGCTTGGGACTCTGTTGACCTGGTTGAAATTGACCATGACGTTGAACTCTATTGTTTTGATAATTTGACTGATAATATCCTCTTCTGCTGTTTCTCCGACCTCTGTAATTTCCTCGTGTAACTGTATTCGAATTCAGCCGAAAATCAGCTATTTTATGTCCAACTTTACCACATTTAGAACAAGTTAATTGAAATGCTTCAAAAGATTGTTCTAACTGGGTCCTTGTTTTGGTTAACACTTCAGTTCTTCATCGAGTAGGCGAGACTTCACAAAGTCCATTGTTACTGTACTATTCATTGTCTCGATTGCTGTAATTACTGAGTCAAATTCTTCATTAAGTGTTAATAAAAGATGACAAACTTTATTTTCTTCCTCTACCTTGTGATCCAATGCTTTCTAGTTCTCTCAAACTTATGAAAATGGTCTTCTAGCTTTTCGTTTCGTTTATGTATTAAGGTTAGTGAGCGTTTTTTAAATGTCATTTTAGTAAATACACTTCGTCTTTGAAATACATATCCTCAAATTCCTTTAACTGTTCTTTTGTTGTTCTGTAGTCTTTAATTATATCAAGGTGTTTGTCGCTTATGCATTGTACCATTATTGATTTGGCCTTTGCATCTCCAAACTTAAATTATGATTTTTCTTTAACTCCAGTGAAGTCGTCTTAAACCTTCTCCAACGTATCTTCTATATCTGCTTTTCTTCCAATAAAGCACTTACCCTGAACTTCCAATAAAGCACTTACCCTGAACTTCCAATTGTTAAAGTTTTCCACATTTAACTGAGGCAAAACCCACAATATACGTAAAATTACAATGTTGTCAGCTTGCACATTAGGTATAAGGTCGTCAACTATCTCCTAATGAGAAGCTAAACTCACATAAATCCTAACACTAATTTTCATCTTTCAATTAGATTAGAATTGGTGGCTGTATTAATTGGGTCTGGTGGTTCCACAAATGCCCTTCCCACCAAAAAGGGCCCTGGTATCAGAGGTGTTATATCAGTGAAATCATCGTTTAGTGGACACTGAGTCCAGGAATTAAGGCAAGTTTCGATTTGTTGGTTGCATAAGTGTGGATAACTCTTCATAAGGGAGGCAAGTTGCTCCAATCACTCTCCTCAGGTGGTTTTTCATTGATTTTACCCCTGCTTCCCAAAGTCCTCCAAAATGTGGAGCTACTGGTAGGATGAAATGCCACTGGGTTCCGATATCTTCAATATTGGATATTTTGACTACCTGCATAACTTCTTTTTGTATCTAATGTTTTGTAACGTGCCAAAATTACCTTTAACTATTTCAGACTTATTTTCAGTTTTCCATTTCTCAAGCTGGATACAAAAAAATATAGAGTTGAGCATTATGTTCCACCTTCCAGAAAACGTCAACAATTTGTAGAACCCGATTTTGCTTTTGTTGGGGTCGACCAACCTAATTCCGATTTGACGAATTCTGTCTTGAACAATAATGCAAATTTCTTTGGCATTTACAGAGTAGATTTATCCAACAATGGTCTTTAAAGGTCAAGACCACAAAATAACTCACCCAATTTGATTTGTTGGAATTGCCAGAAATCCGGTCACTTAAATAGAGACTAGGAAAGCCCATTGCTATCGATGTGGTAACTCACAGTTAAGTATTGTCCTAAATGTGGTAACTGCGTGACTACATTTGTATCACATGCCCAAGTTGATCAGTGTCCATACCTTGAAATTAAAATATTGGAATATTCTATGTTAGGTCTACTAGACTCAGGTGCTAGTCGTACTCTGGTTGGGTTGTCTGGATATGACACTCTTTTGAATTTAGGTTTGAAGTTGGTAGAACAACAAAATTCTTGCAATGTGGTTACTTGCCAAACTTGCACAAGCATAGGTTACATTCAGACACCCATAACCTTAATGGACAAAATTCACATTATTGATGTCATCGTACTTCCTGAACGTTTACATAAAATCATTCTTGGAATAGACTTCTGGAAAACCATGGAAATTATGCCAGATATTAGGCAAGATGTTTGGCATTTTTCTGAGTCTGCTGGTGACACAGAGATTTTGTCTATTCAAGATAGAGATAATTTGACTCCATTAGAACAACCCTTGTAAAGCAGAAAATTGCAGAAATTGGTACTGGACTCGGTTGCTGCAAGGAAGTTGAGCACAAAATCATTCTAGATCCTGGTACAAGACCCATAAAACAAAGGTATTGCCCATTGTCTCCCTTCAAACAAAAGATTATAGATGACGAAATTGAGGAAATGTTGAAGTTAGGAGTCATTGAGCGAGTAGTCCTTGGTCTAGTCCGGTGTGCCTTGCTCGGAAAAAGGATAGATCCTTCAGATTTTGCATCGATTTTAGGCAGGTCAATAAGTATACAAAAAAAAAGACGCATATCCTCTTCCATATATTTCCACCATTTGGATCAGCTCCATCGATATTAAGTCAGCATTTTGGCAGGTCCCTTTGAGTTCATCTTCCAAGGACTACACTGCATTTACTGTTCCTGGCTCTCCCAACTCTGTCGGATGCCATTTGGCTTATTTAATGCTCCTGCAACCTGGCAAAGAATCATCGACACTATCCTTGGTCCAGAGCTCAAACCAAAAACCTGGTAATTTTGGATGCCTTCGGGAACCTTGATTCCTTATCTTTTGCTAAACGCTGTATGGTTTTTATGGCTAAATATGGAGCAGCAGTGGTTTCGTACGTGAGTGTTTCTAATCGGCATTCCTGCATTATAGTATCTCCATAAAATTGTCTTGTGTTTGTCCACAGTGACTTTTGTAACTTGCAGGAATTATAAAATAAAGACTCATTTAACAAGGAAAAATACAATATAAACAATTACAAAATAGCAAAATAAATACATAGTAAAAATCCAAGACCCATAAACAATCCACTTTTAGACGCCCTCCTGTGAAAGCAACATATTTATCGAAAATAAAAATCAACTGACTGGAACTATATACAAGATAACCCCGCCTCCAAGGCCACAAACGGCTTGTTCCGCAATAATTTACAACCCTCTTAAAATTACATTGTTTTAGATTAACCATAAAAGCCGGATGCCCAATGAACCTGGAAGACTTTCCCATGGACATACAAAGATGCCCTTTAAGATTTGGATCATGTAAGAATAGAAACTTTTTAATAAAAACCCTGAGCCTATAAGATTATGATGAAAACTTAATATATAAAAGTTTTCTTTGAAGTTTTCATTATTAATTCTTTTATAGTTGGCTATACGAAACAAGATGTTATTTACCGTTGGAATTCGGCAAGGCAAGTTGCAATAGCTGAGGACATGAAACTTTCCCAATTTGATCTTATTGATACTCCAGCTGGAAATCAAACTTACTCGGTTATAAGCAGTACTACAGAGGCAAAGAGTCCTAAAATTAAACAGAAACTCAGCGAACATTGGGGTAAGAATTTTTCATTTTATATTTCTCAATTCCAGATTAAAATATCTGGGCTAAATAAACATCCATAATGATTTATTGTCAAATGTACATATACACTTGAAAAGAGTCTCATATATTCAGGGCACTTTACTTGCAATTAAATTCTAATTTATCAAATCTTTAAGGGTTTGAATCCCAATTTCCAACTAATGTTCCAGATGAATATTCGATGCTTCTAGTAAGTTTCCACCTACAAAGACATATGGGCAACTTCCTAATACAAGTCTACGGCCCTTGCGTTTTGCTTGTGGTACTTTCTTGGGTTTCTTTTTGGTTGAACAGAGAAGCCACAGCAGATAGAGTGTCTTTAGGTAAGTACCTTAGCAATTTTTTGCAAAACTTTGACAGAAATTTTAGGCATTACAACGGTACTTACAATGACATTTTTGGGTCTGGAAGCTAGAAAAGACTTACCAAAGGTGTCTTACCCAACTGCGTTGGATTATTTCGTTTTTTTATCGTTTTCGTTTATATTTGCGACAATAATCCAGGTAAGATTTACTCAATAATAATTAATATCTAATTTACAAATAATATTTAGTTTGCAGTAGTTCACTATTTTACAAAATACGGCTCAGGAGAGTGTTATTTCAGTAGCGATTTTGATTCGGACGAGTCCGATTCAGATAATGACGAATGGGAAACTTGCCAAAAAGTAGTCGTAAGTAAATTCAAAATTCTTCAATGAAGTTTTAATTGTTGATGATTTTATAGCGTCCAGGTGGTGAGCAGTCTTCTCCCGTCCACCACGTGATACCTACCGATCCAACCCTTATAGAAATTATACCGCTGAATCCTTATACAACTATTCCATTGAAAAGAAGAAGTTCTTCGTCGCCTTGGGGCTCTTTGATTGGTTGTTTGAGGAGGAAGAGTAGCCAGATGGAAATTCATCAGGGTGATCTGGATAGGAGAGTTTCAATACCGATAATTCAAAGTAAGGATTGGATTGACTTTGTAGTTTAAACAAAATTATGCTGATATTTGCAGCAGTTTTTTTCTGTTTTTGGGACACCATCGTATTTGCATAATGATGCGCATATTATAGTAACATCCAATAAAAGTCTAAAAAAATCTTCTGGGTTTGTGAATGATGAGACCAGTGCGAGTAACGTGAACGGTATCTTCCTTTACTGATGAAACGGATGCATTATTTTTCACTCTCGCACTATTTGAACTATTTTCACAAGTCGCTGAGATTTCAGGACGACAGTTCTTATTATCGAGACCTTCTGATTTCGGATCATTAACCATATTGAAATCGGAGTAACGTTTTCTAGAGGTTTCATGGGGTACCTACACATTCCAAATCATACAGTCTCTGGATAGGCCGTAACAGTTGATCTCTGTGAGTAGTCAATTTCACCACACGCACTTATTGGTTGTCTTAGCCAGTCAACGATTCAGTAACTCGTCCCAACGGCCAATCTAAACGTTTCTGTGTATAGTTACCAATCAAGACAATTTCTCCTAGTTTTATGTTGCGTCCGGATTTTGACTTAAGTTTTCCCAAATATTTGCTGCGGAATCTGCGCCTCAATTCTTCACGTAGTCTCTTCTGAAGAGTCACTCGTCGGACACAAGGACTGACTGTCAACCAAGTCTAAATCTGGAACACTATTCTCAAGGTCTATCTTGAAGAAACATTATTGGTCATTTCTGAAACATCTGTTGATACATAGGTCAATTGTTGCGGATCATTTAAGTAATCCTGTGTGTTGAGAAGAACCAGTGATTTTCAGCTGGTGAGAGAAGAGAAGAATATAGTGGAGGAATTCTATAAACTCCTTTACAAAAGTCAATATGACGAAGAAAATCCTGAATCCGAAATCCTGACATCGAGAAGAGGCATTGTTAACCAAGGATCAGAAGAGCTTCCTGATATTACCATAGAGGAAAAAGAATAAGCATTAAAAAACACAAAAAATGATAGGAAGACAACATAGTTACAGACACAATAAAAATAGGAGGCCAACATCTACTGCTATTCAATAGTAAAGTCCCCAAAAATTGGCATAATTCCATTGTAAGCCTGCTTCACAAAAAAGGAGATATAACAGAGCTAGAGAACTACCGACCAATAGGCCTCTTAAGTCACCTTTAAAAACTGTTTATTCGAATTATAACCACCCGACTGGAAAATAAATTGGATTTCTACCAACATGTGGAACAGACAGGTTTTCGTCGTGGATTCGGAACGGAATGACCACCTTCAAAGTGTCAAAACACTCATAGAAAAAACAATGGATTACAACAGAGCTTTAGTAATGACATTCGTGGACTTCCACAAAGCCTTCGACACAATAGAGCTAAATGCAGTGTGAAATGCATTACCGATATACCAAACTTATTCACAATATCTACAAAAATGCAACGATGACGGTAAAACTACATGAAAATACCAACCTCATAACTATTGAACGTGGTGTTCGGCAAGGCGACACGATGTCATCAAAACAGTCATGGAGAGTTTATTCAAATACTTGGACACAAACATAGATGGCAAGAACCTAAACACCTTACGTTTTGCAGATGATATAGTGCTATTCTCGGATAATCTAGAAGAAATGCGACTGATGTTGCAGGACCTGCAAAAGGTGTGTGGAAAAGTCGGTCTTAATATCAATATGTCAAAAATAAAATTCATGACAAACCTTGGCTTGAAGATTGACGGAGCTGAAATTCAAATGGTAGATAGATATGTTTAGGCCCAGCATCTGTGGCATCATATTACAATTTTTACACACTATGTTGTGGGCTACATTAGCCCGCATCCTCCATGTCCTGAGGTTCATTTTCACATACCTCAGAAAAGAGTCATTTATTTCTCCAGCTCGAAAGCCTAGTAAAACTTCGTAGTTGTTGAGTTAACAGTAGTGTTAATACCGTAATGAACTCGATCGCCATATTCTCATCTCAGCGTTCTTAATTTTCCGTCGAGGCATTTAGAGAAGCAAGAATTACCTTATTCATTCTTTCCACTTGACCATTTGCTCGAGGAGTCGCTGTCGCACCCAAAACTCTCTTGATGCCCAATTCGTCTCAAAATTTTGTAAAATCCTTACTAGTAAAGGCAGTTCCACGATCACAAATTATGAGTCTGGGCACCCCCAAACATGTTTATTATCTCATTTGGGAATCGTATCACCATAGAAGTTTTTGTGCTTGCAACTGATTTGATCATAGTGAATTTGGTAAACGTGTCCACGCCGACTACGATGACATAAGAATTATTCTCGACGCTCTTGACAAAGGGCCCCAAGTGGTCAATATGTACTGTGTCCATTCTTTTCAATGTTATGTAATCTGCCAGGTGTTTTTCCAGACGGCTTCTTATGATATAGGCATCCCCAACACGTTAATATGTAGTTCTTCACATGCAAACCAATAACGCCTCCTAATGGCTTCAATAGTCTTCTCAACTGCCACCATCATGATAGTACATCAAAATCCGCCTCCTGGAGTTTTTGGGCAGTACCCATCTCAACCCTTGGTCTGTTTTGCGATAAACAAGATTATTTTTTAGTGCAAAATTATCTTTCGTCCGAACTTTGCGGTATACGACTTAGAACAGCGTGTATTTGACGACACTTTTCATCCTCCAACTGCACAGCCAATACCCAGTCATCCTCATCAACATTGACGTCGCTACTCTTCAACGGGCTTCGACTCAAAGCATCTACATGGTTCATTTTGCATCCTGGTCTATACTTAGTCAAGGTAATTCGTAGAGTACTACAGTCTGTCACGTCATAACCTTAAAAGGTTTCCTAAAAAGATTGCACCAATGCCCCACTGACTGGCATCCGTGTGCACTTCAGTTTCTGCGTAGTGGTCGTATATTGCTAACACTGGACGTGTTACCAATTTCTCTTTTAATTTTTGGAAAACGGTAGGTATCTTCATTTTCATCCCAAATAAAAGCTTTGTCTTTCTTGGTTAAAGTTGTCAATGGCTTGGCAATAATGGCGAAATTCTTGATAAACTTCCTGAAATAACTAGCTAAACCAAGTAATCTTCTCACGTCTATGGTGTAGGGAATTCGGAAACTGCGTTGATCTTGTATGCACCTGGTCGAATCTCATCTTTGTCGATTTCATGTCTCAAGTATTCAATTCTCCTTTGCAAAAACCTACATTTGTCCAACCTTAGCGTCATGCCTGCCTCGCTAAATAGGTTTAGTACTTTTTCAAGGAGTTTCAGACCAGTTTTAATGTCCACAGAAGGTAGAAGGACGTCGTCAAAGTAGACCAAAACTGCAGTGAATCCTCAATTGCGTACATAACTCTCTGGAACACACCGGGGGCATTGAGAAGTCCAAATGGCATTCTTAGATACCCGTACTGCCCGTCAGAGGTCACATAAGCAGTTTTCTGAACTGAATTGTTCCTAACAGGTATCTGGTGGTAGCCCGGGGTAGGTACTTATAATATGACCAATATATCAATTGAATTCTTGGATGATCAACCAATAACGTATCGACACAACGCGAAAAAGTTCGCGAAATAGTTGACGATCTCCTGGAAAACAATATGATTCAAGAATCCCAGTCCCCATATAATAATAATAATAATAATAATAAGACGTTTATTAACTCAAAAAGTAAATACAAATAACATTTTACATCAGCTTACTTACACGACTAGATGAGTTAAACGGCCCATATTTCAGCCTATTTTGCGAGGTCACGCATGATCTCACAAATGCTGTTGAGGCCTCAAATATAATAGCAACAAATTAAAACAGAATAAAAGAAAAATTAACCAGAGTACAGAGATTATTATTATCAACTAGAAAATGAAACTAAGCGAAAATAAATCGACAAGGAGTGTAGGTAAGGGACGGAGAGAGAGGGGTAAAGAGAGGTAAAGCACACATTTGCAGGAATGAAAAAAAATAAATAAATAAAATCAATTCACTATTAATAAAAATAATACTGAAAAAAAAGTATCGTACACACATACGTATACCGAACAAGTCAACAAATTTAATATCAAAACACTATATTCGTACGAGCTGCGATTGAAATAATTTAGTTTTAATTCGTTTTTTAAGAAATGCAATCGAAGTGGAAAAGTCCACTATTTGAAATTTGTTTATTATGTTAGCAATATTGTATGCAAAAGACTTTTTGAAAAATTCTTTGTTATGGCGTGGTATCGTTAAAATATGGCTACATCTAAGGTTGCGGTTATGGATTTGATTACGATATCGCACTTTTTCTACAAGATACCTAGGAGACTATGCAAGTCCAATAGTGTTGGTGAAAAAGAAGAATGGTGAAGAACGCATGTGTGTGGACTACAGAGCCTTAAACCAAAAAACAGTAAAGGAAAAATTTCCTATGCCACGTCTTGATGACCTTTTGAATCGATTAGAAGGATTCCAGTACTTTACGAGCTTGGACCTTGCCTCGGGCTACCACCAGATACCTGTTACGAACGATTCAGTTCAGAAAACTGCTTATGTGACCTCTGACGGGCAGTACGAGTATCTAAGAATGCCATTTGGACTTCTCAATGCCCCCGGTGTGTTCCAGAGAGTTATGTACGCAATTGAGGATTCACTGCAGTTTTGGTCTACTTGGACGACGTCCTTCTACCTTCTGTGGACATTAAAACTGGTCTGAAACTCCTAGAAAAAGTACTAAACCTATTTAGCGAGGCAGGCATGACGCTAAGGTTGGACAAATGTAGGTTTTTGCAAAGGAGAATTGAATACTTGGGACATGAAATCGACAAAGATGAGATTCGACCAGGTGCATAAAAGATCAACGCAGTTTCCGAATTCCCTACACCATAGAATGTACATATGACGTGAGAAGATTTCTTGGTTTGGCTAGCTATTTCAGGAAGTTTATCAAGAATTATTGACATTGACAACTTTTACCAAGAAAGGCAAAGCTTTTACTTGGGATGAAAATGAAGATACCGTTTTCCGAAAATTAAAAGAGAAGTTGGTAACACGTCCAGTGTTAGCAATATACGACCACAACGCAGAAACTGAAGTGCACACGGATGCCAGTCAGTGGGGCATTGGTGCAATTTTGCTTCAGCAACAAGCCCCGGTAGTGTGAGCAATATACCATGGACTGGAAAAACTTTTAAAGGGAAATATCTCAGTTTTAACTATTTCACTTGATATAAAGGAATGAATATTTTTTCGAACCTGTGGTAATTTTTATTCGTGTGGAATCTGTGATATCTACTGGCCAATTTGATTGTGATTCACTTAACCAATTAGGTCCAGAGAGAATCAAAAACTGGACTGAATAAAATTCGCAGGTGACGTGCCTCTCGTCAGCAGGTCCGCTGGATTTTTCTCAGTGGGAACGTACCTCCACAACTCTGGTGATGATACCTTTTGAATATTGGTAACACGATTTTCCACAAACACCTGAAAATTGTGCGGAGAAGATCGAACCCAACAATGTGCCATTGTTGAGTCGCTCCAGGCTTCAGAAGTAGACATTATCAAATCAATATGGGTTAAAGATGATATAACTTTGCTGTATATAGTTGTGATAGAAGGCGAGCTGCACAAAGTTCAAGCTTGCGAATGCGTATAGATTTGAGCGGGTTTCAGAAGTGATCAACTGAACATGTATATTTTGAAACATATCTATGGTTCTAATGTAGATGCATGCACCATAGGCTCTCTGACGCACCGGAAAACCCGTGCAATTTCACACTTTCAAGTTACTTGTTGAGGAATTTGCAACCCGTTAAGTTCTGATCTGAATGAATTCCACTTGGTTCCAAGCTCCTTAGGAACCCCTACGTCCCATGGAAGATTCAAAGCCCAAAGCTTCCGGAGAAACATTTTTGCTCTGACAACGACAGGACTGATTAGTCCAAGAGCATCATAAAGCTTTGCTGTTTCCGAAAGAATTACTCTCTTGGTAATAACCCTTATATTTGGAGGATCGACAATAAAAAATGAAATGGTGTCATGCTCACTGGACCATAGTATACCTAGCGTTTTACTGGTACTAGTGGAACCAAAATAGAAGTTATCAGTTGAAGAGCATTCAGATTTAATAGCTTCCAAAACTTCAGACGAATAATTAGATTTCCACTTTCTCAGTTCCATGCTCGCACTAGCCAAGATTGAACTAACCTTATTTGCAAGAATAGTGACTATTTCTTCTACGAATGATGCACCTCGTAGAAATTCCTCTTCATTACCTCTGAAGCTTGAGGATTGAGATGCTGATGATCTAAGGAAAGTTGCAGTAAGCATCTCGTAGCCAGAAACGGTGCACTGGCTGTCCCGTAAACAACAGTGTCTAGAGAAAGTACTTGCAGTTCTTGGACCGACCATTTGCAATGAATTATATGATCTACCAGTGGAAGATGGGAATGAACTATTAAGCTTTCTGGTTCCACTTTTCTCAGGAAGCACACCGTGATGTGGAGAGAAGCATGTTACTTGATCATTGGCAGGAGTGTACGGAGATATATGTTGCAAGCTCACATATTCCCGCATAAATGAAGTGTATGCACATCTCTTTGAATGCTGGTTTGGAAGAAAGTTTTTTCTTCAGAGAGAAAAACTGGTTTGTTGCCTCTTATTTGGAATCAACTAACTTGGAAGGAGAGTCCTTCAAACCTACCCTCTTTGTTTAAGATAGAATGTTTTTTGAAAATGTTCTGTTCTTCAGTGGATAAACGATTACCTGAAGAAACCTCCTCAATTTCCCAAAACCTCGTTAGCTGCGACTGAATTTCTGAATTTTTGGAGAATTGGCAAACCGTAGAATTGGACTCATTCTGGGCAAAACCTTCGGAAATAAACCAACCAAATTTGCTGCTCTGCAATATTGGTTTGCCTTCATCAAGTGGCATTGTACCCTTGGAGATAAGTGTCCAGAACAAGCTTGCGCACCAATCAAAAGGTCAATATTGCTAGATTTGAAAAATGTAGAATCGGCAAGTTGAATGTCTGAAGATATATTTGGAAAATTAGGATTGATATTTACTGAAGGAAGCTTTTCTGAAAGTTCTGGTAAGATTAGGCAATAATTAGCGTTGAAATTACAATTTCTTGACTTAATATGAATGTCACAAGTCTCCTCAATATTACCAAGTGAAACATTCACAGAGTGTTGGAGTAATTGCAGCTTAATTGAAAATTCCTGTGATATAAAATTGGAAACAATGCCTTGCAGACATGAAAATTACTATTCCACATTCTCAACTTAAACCAAGGCTGTTGCAAGCAAAACCTGAACCTGATTAGATTGATTGCACATTGTAGTCTGGTGTGAAGTAGGAGCACATTCTTCATCTGTGTAGTTTTCACATTGAATTGAAATTGCTGCGCTTGCGGTTTTTTTCTGGATGCAAAATAGAGTTGTGCTTTTCTTTGCAATATTTACATGCCCCATATTTACACTTACTCGCATCGTGACCTTTGTGGAGACAATTTAAACAATGCTTAAGATGATTTACCTGCGCCTTCTTATCGTTTAAGGGTAAAGACTTGAATTCTTGACAATTGTATATAGCATATGAGGTTTTTTACAGTAGTAATAAGAAAAGTTATTAGTAACTGTGGCCGATAGACATTTTTCCTTACTTTTATTGATTATAGTGTCACACTTACAACCCCTATAAGTACGTTTCGTCCTGAGACGTCATAACAGGAGCGGGACCTGGGGGCGTAGAGGTGTGGTTCAGGTAGAGAGAAACTCGCTTAATATAGGTATAATAGGATAATGTATTGAATAATAATAATATTACCCTAGAAATAGTATCATGACGTCTCTTCTACGGAGGGACGTACTACTTATAGGCCACTCTGTATTATGTACTCTCTGTACACTTGGCGTAAGAGTGAAGCTGGGTTTGAGACAGGTCCAGAAGGGCGTTTCCCAATAAAGGTAGTTGGCACTGGAAGGAGACTTAGCTAGAGGGGCTTTTCCCATTTGAGGTACTTTGCACTAGCCTTAGTCTGTCGGTAATGGATTTTGGCGCGGTATTTATACCAAATTAATGATGACTCGTCAACACATTTTAGTAAAATTGATGTACAGAGTGGTATTTACTTAATTAGTTGACAATAGGAATTTGTTTGACTTTATGTATATTATTTTTTTAGAAATAATCTGCATGAGAATTCAAAAATGATTTAAGTTTTTCAATGGTGCCAATGGTGGGAAAAAGTTCTTGGGTTTGATAGTGTTTAATAGTTTCTGGATCAAATTTTCTTGCAACTAGATATATAATCAATGGGTTCCTCCCATGATTCTGTGTTAACACCCATCGACTTTGATGAATTTAAGTTTTTTGACAAAGTGGCATTGAAATTACGTAAAGTTAGGGATGAATCTGCTTCTAGTTCAGATTATGAAACATCAACTTTTTGTTATCAAATCTTTGACATAAAACACTCCATGCTAGGTCATAGTTAGAACCTGAAACCTCGATACTTATATAGGGTATTCCATTTGAAAATCCAAAGCTGTTGCGAAGTTTAGTAAGAAGTGGCAATACTGCACCTTTCAAAATACTTCCAAACGATAGAGCATGTTTGCTTATGGCCTCAACCAAAATTTCAAATTGATCTGACTTTTGGTTCTCTAAAAACGTCTAATGGTCTGTGAATAACCCATACAGATGAAAACAAGGATCGTAACAACGAGATCCCACACTTGATTTTGTATTTCTTTTTCAGATAACGTTGGTAGAAAAAAGAAAAAACGCACCCCAAGATTCAATTCCGTTTCGAAAATCGATCAGGCTTCGAGGGTGGTTTTTCCCATGTTTTTCTTGACGATCAATTTGTTTTACTGGTACGCCTACTTAATGAGAACTAATCGTATACAAACAATAGGGCACACATAGACGAATTATTGGGCCAAAAATATATGTATAGAAAACACACAGACAAAGAAAATTAAAAAGATTATATTATAAAATAACAAAATTTAGATTGTTACATATCGTGATGATTTATTTAATAAATAATTTAAGTATTGAGCTTTTTTTATATAAATTCAATTATATAGATTATGTAACTAGACCAAAGCAAAGTAGGATAATTATTAATACAAATTTCAATAAATAAAATATAAAAATTGTTATGCTAATTTAGATGCCATTGCGGAAAAGGGAATTACCAAATAAAAATAAATAAATGTGATATTTGTAAAACAAAAATAGAAATACATAAATGTTTATTAATATAAGTGTTAGAAACATTTGACAGGGTATAAAAAATAAATAAAATATATAATGACGTTTTAATTAGGAACTGTTTTAATGATCCTTGCTAGGGCAAAGACTTGGCCCTTTCAAATACAAACAAAGGCTAGAAAGCTGTAACTATACAATACAAACAAAATGATTATTTTGTGTCAGAATTTGTCAATGAAATAATGTAAGAAAACATGAACCAGGAAAGTGTAGAGTGAGTGTACAATTAATTAGGTAATAATTTGATTAATATTTTAAGCACAATGGTTTTAGAAGCTTAATTAACAATTATGAAGCAATAGTAAAGCAGCAACAACAAGAATTGTATTATTTAAAGGTAACTAAACTAAGAAACATAATTAGAGTTTTAATTAATTATTCCACCTAGCATGAACAAGACAATCTAAAACACCAATTAATCGAACTAATCAATGAAAACAAACAACTATCTCAAGACTTAAGTGCCAAAAAACCTCTCCCACCTCAAACTAACAACAACAACTACGAACAACTAATTAGCAATCTAAAACAACAAATCAACAAACTAATTAACGAAAAAGAATGCGTTTCCAAGCTATGGCAAGAAGGCATCAAAACCATCGACCATTTAGAAGACGAATTCAAACAAACTGGTGTCCCAAAAAGCGAAGTCCAAAAGCTGAAACTCAATTATGAAACCAAAATAGAAAAACTACAGCAGGAGTTGGCCAAAAATCAAATGAGACATTGCGAAGTTGATCAGTCCCTGGAAAATCAAGCCAGCGCTTTGAAAATTGTGAAAAACCTCGAAACTGAGGTGTTGAGGTTGCAAAAAAGACTCCAAGAAGCTGTTGAAGATAAAAATTTAAGCCAACAAATGTTGGAGAAAAAAGATGAAGTCATACAAAGTAGGTATCTATACTTACAAATAATTGTTTTTAATTGAAAATTATTTTAGGCCTAAAATCAGCTAATTCAAACTATTTGCGGCAAGTAAGAGAAGCTGTTTGTGTAGTTGAAGCTGCTTTAAACGAAAAAGATGCTGCCTTGTTTAGGGAGCAACAAATTAAAGGTAAAAATTGCTTCAATATTAACTTTTTTGACTGTGATTGAATTTTTAGATGAAAACGAAAAACTACTCAAAGAAATGACGGAAATTGTTAAACAAACTCAAGAGAAAATCAAACAAGAAACGTTAAAGTTGAGTATTGAAAGTGCTGAAAAGCAAAAGTTGCTTATGGATGAATTGAGTCAAGCTCAAACGGAAATAAGGAGGAAATGTGAAGAGATTGAGGCTCTAAATCAAAAGAGTTGTCAACTGGAAAGGGAAATCGAGCGGATGCACAAGGGGCATTGCACTATCGACGAGAGCGACATTAATAAGTTGTTGATTTTGGAGAAGAATTTGGAAAGTACTTTTCAAAAATTGGTAAGTCTGATTATTACAGGCTCCTCATGGTCTAGAATAGAGCCAGTAATAATCGAAATTTGATCTTTTACTGGCTCTCGATTACCTAGAAATATTACTGGAGGGACTCAAAGAGCTCGTAATAATCACAATTTGAACTATTATACTGGCTCTTGATCGTCTAGAGAAATATCCCAGCAACTCAGGAGCCAGTAATAATCAAAATTTGAACTATTACTGATTCTTGATTGTCTCGAAAAATTCACCAGCAATCGCTTATTTTCAGTTGGTATCCGAAAAACTTAACATCCAACTGACCTCGGACAAAGAAGTCATTAAAAACGACTTGGAACAAATGGCCAACATTTACGACAGAAACTTGAAAGCCAAAGAAGTGGAAATGTTGACCTTAAAAGCAAAAATTAACCGCTTGGAAACTGAACTAAACGAAACCCATGAGAAAATTAATAATCTATCAAAAATAAATCAAGACAATAAACAACAACAAGGAAATAACGAAACGTAATACCAATTAATGAGACATGACAACCCTTCTAGAACCAGTAATTTCCAGTTGCCCACCTATTTTTCAATAAGTTGTACGTTTATCCTACTTGATAAATGAATTGATTGACTGGAAATAACTGTTCTAGAACGGTTCTCATGTCGGTTGGAACAGAGCTATAGAAATTACAACTATTTCAAATTAATTTCTTTTAGTGATTATAAAGCAACAATAACTGAATACAAAAACACCATAAAACAGCTACAAACTCAAATAGAAATGAAACAAGATTTACACCAAAAGTGGCGCAAAGAAACCAAAATAATCACAGACAATTTGGAAAAACTGGTAACACACCTCAAACAAGAAGTGCAACAATTCAAAAAGGAAAACAAATCCCTAAAGGAGGATTTCAGGAAATCTGAAGACAAAGTGCGCCAATACAAGACCTTTTTAGAATTAATTTCTAAGGATGTTAATAAAATTAGCCATTTGACTTTGGGGCCTGGAATTAGCTGACAAGAATTGTCCATGGCTGTGTAAACCACACCCAAAGCAATTTGTATTATATTATATTAACTCAATGGGTTTAAAATATTAATAATTGCAAATAAAACAAAGGAATTTTTTTATTTATGCACTAATACATTCATTAAACAGACTAGGAAAATAATACAACTTTTCATGTGTAGGTTCTTGTAAGTCCACCCATGCAAGGCCTTGATTCACCAAATTCTCCAAAGCATTCTGGCTTCGTTCAGTTTCCCAACTCAATTCCTTTCTGAGAAAATTCACTGAAACATAAGCTCTATTTGAAGCAGAAGCCTGAGTTAAAATTGCTGAGTGATCCATGCTGAGTTCGCCTGGTACAGATTGCACCATAAACTTGCCTTTACCATATGGTATAACATTGAAACCACTGCCAAATATTTTCAGTTTCTGAGCAGCCCTTAGTAAATCGTCTTTGGAGATTTCTTGATGCTCTTTGCGTTGTCCTCTGGCATTAATGAGCCTTGTTCTGAGTTCTTCTAAACTTATCAGGCCGCCGTTTTTATCGTTGGTTGCTGTTTATGAAATATTGAGTTAAATGAATAGATGTGTATTTTTGGGGGTTTTAGTCTTACCTAAACAAACTTCAACAATTTGCACTGCCAGCTCGTAGTAGAAATCTCCAATGCCTAAAACCGACCAGAAACCTTTGCCTGAAGATAGAGGGTCTACACCAATACTGGCACACATTTCCTGAAATTGTCTTCTAAATTCTGGATTCTTTTTGATTTCGTTCTTGTGTTTACTGGCGAATTCTTCCAGATTCGTCTTGAAAAATTCAAGTTGTTTGCTCATTTGCTCGAATTGATTTTCCTGGATTTCGTTGCTTTTGTCCTTGTACTTTTCCTGTTCCAGTTTTTGTTTCTGGATCGCTCCGAGACCGGCACGTCTTCTCATCTTGTTTTAAATAAATAATAATTGAATGTTTTAATTTTGTTGTTTATTTTGTATGTAAACAAACTTTGAGGTTATGTATTTCTAATGTCAAAAAAAAAACAGTGTCGGACTGGCCCACCGGGCAAAATCCCAGTAGACCAAGGTGACGTCTTCGACTGTTGGTGGGCCATTCGAATATTTATAATAGTATATTTCCTAACTAGTGCGGAAAAAAGACTTTCAGCACGAGTTAGAAACACTATAGAAAAATATAGACTCGCAAAAATTTTTCAATAACTCCTTCGTATTTCCCAAGGTAATCCCCATGTTTTTCCGAAAATCAGCCTAATCAGCAACGCTAGAAATAACTGAATAGTTCTTCTGTTTGTTAATTATAATATCTTTACAAATTAACTCTTCTAAGGGCCGGTTTATTCACCTTCTGATAAACTGTTAGGTTTGCAATCTGAAGAATAAACACGCAATCTGGTGAAAAAGAGGAAGTTATATAAAACCGGTCAGAAAAAAGAGCGATCACAAGAAAACAACAATTAGAAGCTGCAGCATCCAGCCAACAACTGACTTAATAATTTTTTTGAATACTAAAACAAATACAAATCCGTCAACCGAGGAAAGTTTCGTGGATGCTCCTGCATGTTCTACTTCTACAAAGATCCTAGAAACAGAAAAACTATCCCCAATTGCAAGAAATGACCCACTGTTAAAAGCAGCATCAAGCAGTAGCCCAACAATCTACCCTGCCTTTAACATCAGAAAACCAGAAAGAGGTTCAGGAAGACTCAATGCCCGGATTGCCGGGACCATCTTCGACTTCATGAAGAAAAGAATTTGCTGTAGAAAAATCTGAAGTAGGTAAGTATACCTACCTGCTGTTATGATCCCACTATGTAACGAATGTGATGATCACAATACCGACACAATGTTAATACCGATCGTAATGAAACAATACCGTATAACTTCTGTTTAAAATACTTTTATTATAGAATGATACGCAGTTGTTTGAGGAGAGGGTCTTTCAAAAATGTCTGTGTAACCAAAGCTGTCTTCTGACTGAAAGTTATATGTCTTGACTCAAAGTTGTTTCTTGACTGAAAGTTGTCTCTTGACTGATCTCTCTTCCCAAAATCCTCTTTCGACATCCCTTCTAAAAATCTATTGCTATAAAATCTAGTACCTACTTAATCTAAGAAAAACCTTCAATAAATGTCGGCGACATATCTCAAAGAATGGTCCTTCGGGATACTTGGAAAGTTTGGGTGTTTATGATGGACAATGTTTATTTTATTTAAAATAATTACAAAACAGTATTTTTTGCTCACATAAAGTCTGCAGGGTTTACAATTTAATACTAACAATTCACATCCTTCTTGCTGGAAAAGGTCTTGACAATATAATAAATTTATACCTTTCTTTGATGCCAAACCGAACCATTATTTAGGATAGAAGATGCCTGATATAAAATAAATGTCTTTATTAAAATAATATAAATGTTCAATTTCATTACAACAATAGTATGGTATATAGTATGTATGGGGAAAACACTACACTACCTACATTTAGCATCTAGCCCGAATTCTAAGATAATATACAGTGTGTCCGTAAAGTAACACATAATTTCATTTAAAATTCATATTATATATTTTTTTTTTTTTTGGAAAAATGCTCGGACACGTCGATCTCAATTTGTAGTGGCGCTGTTTTTGAACTAATTTGTGTTTACACAAGGTGACCCAAAAAAGAGATGTCACATGAATCTTCACTTTTTTAAATAGAATGCCATGTATATTTTGATGAATATCAATCGAGCGAGAATATAAGTACAAGGGCAATCCATTTAAAAATGTAAATAACAACAAAATATAAGCAGATAGGTAAACTTAAAGTACAGGGTGTATTTTTATATATTGACGCCCCACAATTAGGCAATTCAATCCATCTGTCAAAAAGGAAAATTCAATGTGGCGTGGCGGCCAAGCAAGTTTGTTTTGGATATGTTTTTATGCGTATTTTAAATTATATTGCATACAGTTTTGCTTATAACTTTGATTTTCATTATTTAATAAAATATTTGTTGACTAGGTACCTAAAATATTAATTCCGGCAGAAACTAGATATTTTTTTATGTTTTTTGGCCCATGTGTGGCCGCCACGCCATCTTGAATGTCACATGGTTTGAATTGCCTAATACAATACAGCCTTTACCTTTACAGGTAGATGAAAGTAGTAGGATAGTATTAGGATAGTATTTTCGATAATTTTTGGAGCCGAATATATGAAAGATTGCTCATCAAATTTAGATCGGAACATTAATTGTGCTCTTCAAGAATATAGAATAAAATATAGGGCATCCCAGTTGAAAAAAGCTTGAAGCATGCAAAATTTCACATTTCTAACATTCAAATTTTGTTTTTGACCATGATTTCTAAAAATTCAGTTAAATCTGTACAACTTTTGTATTTATACCTTTCTTCTACCTCTAAAGGTAAAGGCTGTAGGTGAGGTGTCAATATATAAATAAAATACCCTGTACAAATACCTAAGTAGATTATTGCGAAACTTATGGGTGGACCTCTGCGGGACGAGCGCAGCGAGTTCCGCAGCCATCTACTCACCAATATACTGTTGTACTGTTCAAGTAAGGCATTTACCTGAAACGTGTAGTTTTTAAACTAATGAGAATAGCTCACATTTGAGTGAGTCAGGTTAGTATCATACTTGAATAACATATTGGTGAATAGATGGCTAGGTCCACCCATAAGTTCCGCAACAATTCACTCATTTGTACTTGAATAACTTGTCACATTATGTTCTAGTTTAGTAAAGTAACATTACTAATTCCTGTTGAAAGGCAAATTGCTGCGTTGTCATATCAATAATAATATTTATTATTACACGAAAATGAAGGAAATTTTATTGCAATTTTCATGTATTAATAAATATTATCGATATGACAACTGTCCCCTCTGTCTATTCAGTAGCCGTAGCTCAAGAACCATGCAACGGACTATATACTTTTTCAGCGCTTCATCGATTACCAAATATAAATGTTAAAATGGCTGCACTAAATTAATACTTTTGCAATAATTTATATTCGCACGTTAGGGTAGTGCGAATTTGCAGTACTTTTTTAGCGCTTCACCGATCACTCAAATTTGAATACGCAATAGTGCTGTTAATATACTTTGTTTTGGTTTCTCTTAAGCTACATCCTCAATCAATTTGGTACCGTAAAACGAGGTTACTTTGTGACAAATTTTACGGTTTCGGTTGATTTTTCTGAATCTAGAAAGAAATAATCAATTTCTGGTAGGTTAATGATAAACTTACATCATTTGGCTTTTAAAATACAATGAGATATTTTGAAAATTTTTAGAAGTAGAGCTGTGGTTTGCAAAAATAATTGTCACAATCTCACCCCTATCCATGGGGGGACTTTGTGACAACTAAAAGTTTGCACGCAAGTCCAAAGTCGTCGTTTAGCGAGCCGGGAATATGACACAAATTAGATACAAATGGGACTAATTTTATTAGATTTGTTTTAAATTCACCCCTTCAGTTGTGAGCACGTCTAACTGATGTGTCACAAAGTGCCCCCAAAAACAAATTTCATTGAACTTAAATGGTTTATTTGTCTAATAGGTACATATAAAAGTTTTAAATAAAATAATACCTAACTTGGAACTAAGGAAACTTAAAAAATAAACTAAAAAAAGGTAACTCAAAAAAAATAAAAAAAAATAAAATGGTACTAACATTGTTAGTACCACATAAATTGTGTCATAATTTCAAATTTCACCACGAAATTTGTTGAAATTTTATTAAACTATGGCGTCACATGCTTGTTGATTAGAATTATGAAAATGTTAATTCATCAGTGAATAGCCAAAACTACAAAAGAACGCTACCTAAACTCAAATCCTGGCTACATGAGATAGTCTTAGTTGAGCAAGGTAAAGTTTTCAGCAAAAGTAAAATATTGAAATTATCTATTGTTGATATTTTCCGCACGCACAGCTGGACGCCGTCTTCCACAACATTAATTGATAAACTGATTTGTTCGCGCGCTTTTTGGAATGCCTTGAGCGCAATCGCGAGGCCGTCGGTTGAGAAATGCGCGAACTGTTGAGGATTTGGTGTGCGCGCTACCATGTGTCACAAAGTCACCTGGCCGTTCTAAAATAACCCCATGGTAGGTAATTTACCTTGCGTTCGTTATTTTGTTCAAAGAGCAAAGCGTGCAGAGCGGAGCCGTAATCAGGTGACCAGCGAGCCCACAAAGCAGCTCAGATGGCTCGAAATTTCAATAAACGAACCTGAATGAGCCTGCACCGAGTAGACTTTTTAAATAAAAGGACGATAAATTCATGCTTCGAGAACTCAGATCCAAATACCGAACGTACGGGCAATGTACCATCGTCACCAAAAGTAACTGGGACAGCATCCCATTAGCTCTTGTCCTATTATATAAATTTTATGTCAAATATTTGTCTAACTATGAATCGAATGCATTGAAATGAATGACAGTAGAATTAGTCCAGGAGATTATTATGCATTATTTGTGTCCCAGATACTTTTGGTGACGATGGTACTGCGCATGATATAAGTTGTCACGCATCGAAAAAGCTTGCAGCTTGTAAGCTTGCATTTCGGAGTCGGCGTGCATGCTAGCACGAAATTGAATTGAGGATGCCATTGCCAACGTTAATAAACAACATTGTCCTAGCATGCGTGCCAAAGTGCCACTTCGCTACCAGATTGATTGAGGATGGGCCTTTATTATACGTACTTTAAGCATATTTCTGAAGCATTGCTATTAAAACGCTGTTCCGTCTAAAGTCGACCGGGAGTTTTCCAGCACATTGACGCACATCGTGTTATCTGGGTAAGGCAACTCACATTTGAGTGAGTCAGAAGTCAGTTTAGTTTCGTAATTAAACAACACATTGATGAATAGATGGCAGAGGTCCACCCATAAGTTCTGCAACAATTCACTCATTGAATAACTTTACATTATGTTACTAGTTCAGTAAAGGAACATTACTAATTCCTGTTGAAAGGCAAATTGACAAAAAATGAACAATCATAATCTTACAAATTTTGACTTTATATAATAGTTATTGTTCAAGTATAAATAGGTGGATTATTGCGAAACTTATGGACGGACCTCTATGGGACGAGGGCAGCGAGTTCTGCAGCCATCTACTCACCAATATATTGTTGAACTATTCTAATAAGACATTCACCTGAAACGTGTAATTTTTAAACTAATGAGAATAACTCACATTTGAGTGAGTCAAGTTAGCATCGTAATTAAACAACATATGGATAAATAGATGGCTGCGGAACTCGCTGCGCTCGTCCCGCAGAGGTCCACCCATAAGTTCCGCAACAATCCACCTGTTTGTAGTTAAATAACTTGTCACATCATATTACTGATAGTATTTTTACAATTTTTGGAGCCGAATATATGAGAGACTGTTCAATCAAATATAGACAAACTATATCTTTTTGGAATCGGAGCATGGTGCTCTTCAAGAATATAGAATGAAATATAGGGCATCCTATTTGAAAAATGCTGGAAGCATGCAAAATTTCACATTTGTGACATTCAAATTTTGTTTCTGACCATGGTTTCTAAAAATTCAGCCAAAACTGTAAATACACCTTTTTTCTACCTGTAAAGGTAAAGGCTGTAGGTGGGGTGTCAATATGTAAAAAAACACCCTGTACCTTTTTTTCTATGCCTTTTTTTATACAACTAGGCACCAGATTCAACAAATGATTATCAAAATTGTTTTTATTGAATGGGGTTTGAGTTGGGTAGGTAGGCCACTTCACCATTTGCCCGGTGGGCCAAATGACCCCCAGTCCGACACTGGTCAAAATCCCAAAATCGCCTTCAACTTTTAGCGCCATCTAGCGGCAGTTGGGTGTAGCTTTATTACTTTAATTGTTTATAAATGATTTTCAGACTTATTTTATAACAAAATAATGCTATTTTTGATGCATTTCAACGTAATCAGGCCCTTGATAAGGTCAAGTGAGTGTTTTTTCGATTCTTAATAGTTTGGGGGCTCCTGTGAATCCCCAAGCTTCATTATAGTCAAAATTGTTTGAAAATGATTTATAGGCTTATTTTATAACAAAATTATGTTATTTTTGATGCCCTTTAATGTAATTAGACCCTAATTAATGCCAAGAAGTCATTTATTTGATTTTGAGTTTTCTTGGGGATCATGTGTATAGTGGCGCCATCTAGTGATAGTAAGTGTAGCGTTATTAGCCAAATTGTTTATAAATAATTCACAGGCTTATTTTATAACAAAATTATGTTATTTTTGATGCCCTTCAATGTAAGTAGGTCCTAATTAAAGCCAAGAAGCCATTTATTTGATTTTGAGTATTCTTGGGGATCAAGTGTACAGTGGCGCCATCTCGTGACAGTTAAGTGTAGCGTTATTAGCCAAATTGTTTATAAATAATTCACAGGCTTATTTTATGATAAAATTATGTTATTTTTAATGCTTTTAAACGTAATCAGGCCCCAAATAAATCCAAGTAGGGGTTTATTCAATTTTGAGGCTCATGTGAATCCCTGCTATTAGCTTCATATAGCCAAATTGTTTGCAAATGATTTAGGGACTTTTATTTTATTTTATAACAAAATTATGGTATTTTTGATGCAAGTAAGCGTAATCAAGGCCTATTTAAAGCCAAATAAGTTATTTATTCAATTTTCAGTATTTTTGGGCCCCCCGACTACAGCGCCATCTCGTGCCAGTTAAATGTAGCTTAATCAAACCTAACCCAACTTTTTAAGTTGCATATAAAATTTGAAATTTTAAATTTATTTCCTAAACTATCATTGAAATTACCCACTAATTAAAAAGTATGAACGAGTTTTTGAAAATCAATTGGAGGGTGAGCCACCCCAGCCAACTAGAATGCTACGCCCTAAAAGAATTTTTGCCCGACGAAGCCCTACAGTTCAGCGACAACGATTCCGATTCCGACGAAGAAAAATACCCGAAAATATTCAGAATGAGACGTGTCGACTACACGCCCGGTCTACAAGAAATAAAATCGATCAAAATTCAATCTGGCATCGATCAGAGGGGTCATCAGGTGTGCCTTGAAGCCCTCAAACTATTTCAATCCGGTAAGGACAGGTCTTGTTACACTTACAAAGAAAATCAATCTGCTGCAACTTACGATAAACTTAAAATGGTTATTTTACAAGAGAATGCTAAATATTTGAAATATGTTGCTCAACAATGGCAAGAAATAGATTATTTCAAACAATATTTCAATGAAAATGTTACGGACTTTGGCAAATGCATTTGGCACAAAAAGAAGCTCAGATTGAAATCCTATCCTCAGTTTTATAAAGAGTTGCTCATGATTAATACAAGCTTAAATGAAGAAGAAGAAATTATTGAGTTTAATTGTGTTGAAAACAATTTGCAATTGGAAGGTTTTGCACAGTTTTGCAATCCTGGCCTCAAAAGCCCTTGCCAACTCAATACAATCAAACTAGAATCTGAAAAAGATAAAGTCCAATTGCCTTTAAATGAAGATGAAGGTGTTTTGAATTATATACAAGATGTTGATGTTGTAATTTCTTCTAGTAGCATAAAACACCTTGTAGATACTACAGAATCAGGCAAATGGTTGTTGCCAGTTGTAATTAAAACAATCAATAACAAACAAGTAGCATTTTTCGAAAAACCTTTCTCCTTAAATGATGTCTCAAACAAAGACCTTGCCCAAACAACATACAAAAGACTTATCCAAAAAGCATTTTGCCTACCAGAGCCCAAACCCAAACCAACATACAGGAAGTGGCTGATTACAAAAACCCATTGCCTGAATAGCCTTATGAAAACACACCACAAACCTGTAAATCTTAAAGTGCTTATAAGAAATAAAACAGTTGCAAGTGAAACAATTAATAAAACATTACAAGATGTTATATTGAAACCTAAAATCGAAATGCAACTTAAGTATGGAGCAAACATTCAAACAAAATCTGAGCTTATTGGCGAATGGGCCTCGTTATTTTTCAGGCCCTTCTCCAATTTGTACAGAGTGCGAATTTCCCCTGTAAAAGGCGAAGTCATTTGTCTGGAAAAATGCCACATACAAAAAGTAATAGCTGAAGCCCAGCACCACTACCACTACAAGCCTCAACTTGGACTAGCGACTTTGCAAAAAGTTTTCGAAGATGTCAGCAAACTTCCAGTGGGCAACTATTTGTTGCGGCACTTGCCCAAACAAGGAAATTTTATTTCAGTCTTGAAACAATCAGACAAGCAAGAGTTTGATTTTTATAAGGAATTGGACCAAAGAAGCTTAAGTGATTGCCCTAATTGGGTACCGCTTGATTGCAACTTTATTTTGCCTGGGTTTGAGGCATTGAATCGTATGCCTGGGATGTTCCAGCCTAGGAAAACTAATTTGAAAAGAAAGATGCAAACTGATGTAGGATAATTGGCTCTTGAGATTTGTTTTATAACAATTAAAATAAATTTAAATTTTCCACCACAAAATCTTGTATTTAAATTACTTAATTAAGTCCCATCTGTGCAAAGACACACGAAAACAAAGAAGAAAACTGTAAAATGTGCACCAAAGTAATACACAAAGACATTTTTTTGTGTGAGCTAAAAAGAGACAGCAACTGAACTGAAACTGAAACGAACAAGACAATTAAGAAAAAATAAATCCTTGTCCAAAAAATAGTCAACAGTTGACCTGTGACGTTGCTGGGGGAAAGAGTGTTTGTGTTCAGTGAAATTGTAAATAAATAAAAGAAAACTTTAAAGTGAAAAATAATGCAACAAAGGGACAATTAATAAGCCGGTAAGTGCGTTAATTACCATCATTAAAAAACTGATATCTTTTTTCTTGTGGGATGATTAATAATTTATTAGGCTCGTTTTAAAGGTCAGTAGCACCACTGATGGTTTGCTAACTGTTTACAAAAGTTTTTACCTACTATTAGTATTTGGTTGACCTTAAATTTTACAAAGGTTTATTGACTTCCTCTTTAAATCCTCAGAATTATTATTAGGGTTTTTTTCTAAGGCATAGTTTACTTAAGCTCTGGTTAATTAAACATTTATTAACAGCCAGTTGGCCCTGTAAGAAGTTTCAAATATTCACATCTTTTTATTAAGTATTTGTCTTATTTTTATTATTATTATTTCTTCAGTTAGTTTCTCTGCCATAGATTAGTCACAACATATTTGAGATATCTTTATGCAAAAGATGTTCACAGATTTCCCTAATATATCCCAGATTACCCGGGATCCCCTTAAGATTTCCTTAAATCTCCCTAATTTTTCAGGAATTTCATAGAATAGGTATCAGCACATGTGCACAGCCGGAAGAGAACTTCCAAGGTCTTCTCCTTAACACAGCATGTGCATTTTGTCTTGATCTATTACTTTTTAAGCAAAATCAAAGCTACATTTATCACAATACCTATGGAGGTATTATATTTTTATTTCAATGGAAAACCTGGTAACATGATGATATCCTCTTGAATATTCTCAGTCAATAGAAAATTAAATTCTAAATGCGCACAGGATAAGATTTCCCTCAGATTTCCCCATATCTCCCCAGATTTCCATCAAATTTTCCTGAATTTTCCCATTCCAGGCTTTTGAATTAGTTTTAAATGTTTATAATTTAATAATCTGGAATATACCTAAATAAAAAACATTTGGGAATGAAAAATCAAAATAGTAAAGAGAAAAAAACCACTCCTCCAATACACCATCATTCTTCCTCTGGATCTGAGGAATTCAAAACTTGGCTTCAAAAGTTATGAGCCATGAAGCTTTTTTCCAAATTTCTCTCTGGATCTGAGACTCAGAAAAAATATGTGCAAATCATAAAATCTAATAATTGAAAATGCTCAAAAACTCTATGGTTGTCATTTGAGCTGCATTTTGGGCCTATAAAATCTGAAAATTTTTCTTGAAAATTTCATTTTTATAATTTTCAAAATCTTGTCCATTTAAAATACCGAGGGGTTTTTCACCTTGTTAATCGGTGTACAAATCACTGGTTAATATATGTCAATTCTATGTCAATAGTGTCTATAGTATGCAATACCTAGTTGTTAATTATGTAGGTGATATATGTCAATACTAGTAGATATCTAGGCAATATACAGTGTGTCCCGCTTAAGGACTGACCACCCTTCTAAAATTTTTATTTTTCAACCAATTCAATTTATTTATTTTTTGTCTTATAGGTATCCACTCGAATTTGGTTACTCATTTGGCTCATAATTTTATTTCTTCGGCTTTACTGGTATACAGGGTGTCCACATTTATAGGCTCCAATTTTTGATAAGTACTTTTAGGGATTTTTTAGAAAAAATCTGATAGCAGATTTTTGTTTAGAATGGTCTAAAACCCAAATGTACTATTTTTTTTTCCAATATGATACAGGGTGATCACAACAAATGTTCAAAATTTAATGGACCAAACCGGAAAAATGTCATATTTTGAGGCCTTAATAACAACAAAACTTGATACAACATAGTTTTAGAACAACCTAAACCAAAACTTGTAGTAAGATTGTCTCAGAAAATAACATTTTTTCGGTTTGATCCATCAAATTGTGAAAATTTCACCCTGTATCGTATTGAAACAAAAATTAGTACATTTGGGTTTTAGACCATTCTAAACAAGAATCTGCTGTCAGATTTTTTTAAAAAAAATCTCTAATAGTATAAGTACTTATTGAAATTTAAGCCTATATAAATGTGAACACCCTGTACACCAGTATAGCCGCAGAAATAAAATTATGAGCCAGATAAGTGCGAAATTCGAGTAAATATAAGACAAAAAAATAATTAATTGAGTCGGTTGAAAAACAATGATATTACCCATTAATAACATGTAAATACCCTTGGATATGTCAATACCTAGAATTCTGGCAAGACAAATATTTGATTTTAGTTTGTCAATAGCATGGCAATACCTGGTAATATGTGATAATGACTATTTCACTAGAGTGTATAACACCGGCAATACATAATTGCCAAGCAACAAACTTTCATACCTCTCGAAAATTTTGCCGACAATAGTATATTACAATCCGAGACGGAAAATGCTTCATTGCTGCTCAAGAGGTTATATAGTTTATCGAGACGCGTAGCGACAAGATAAACTAAACCTCGAGATAGCAATAAAGTTTTCCGTCGAGGTTTGTATACTATTTTATTTGCAACCCTTAATTTCTGAAGAAAAAGGTTTTATAGTACAAAATAATAGTGTGAATTGGCCTTAGAAAAAATCATCTTTCACTTTTTTTTTGTCAATGTCATCAATTTGACAAAAAATATGCCTAGGCAGGCATATACATTGCAGTTCCGATAAAATGTCAAAGTACAGAAATGTGACAGTTTCAAGATTTTAAAAAGTCTGTAATGTCAATATTACATAGACAGTTGAAAATAATAGTATATTACATGCGGAGGTGGAAACTGTTTCATTATTGTCGAGAGATACTATGGTTCAATTCTCGAGACAATAATGTGAAAACTTTTCCACCGAATTATGTATACTATTTTATTTTGAACCATTAATTATTGAAAAAAATTAGGTAAAAATATGACAAAATTGGAATTTGAACTGACAGTCTGACACCGACATTGACATCTTATGAAAAAATAATATAAACACGTCATGTGACATCTACTTCTAAATACAAACATTGCACCTGGATTTGTTTAGCGAGGTGTTTAGGTGTGAAAGAACAATTTATCAGGGCCGAAAGTGACAGGAGAACAGTCACTTTCGGCCTGCTTTAAAGTAAACAAAAGTAAAGTGACATTTTCGAACCCTCAAACCAGTAAGGAATGTGAAAATTACATAATATATGGTTCAAAATAATTTTTTTTCTCTTGTGACATTATATATGATAATACTAGGGAAATACCTGGCAATATGTAGAAATAATTTGTTAATACATGGAAATAGTTGGCAATAACTTGTTATTAGGTACATAGAAATATTTGTTAATACATGGAAATATCTCAATTAGTTGAGCACTTAGTATTGTTAATCAGTGTACTTATAAATTATAAATTTTGTTAGGTGAAAAACCCCTCGAAACAACATTTGGGAGTGAAAAATCAAAGTAGTTAATAGAAAAGAACCACTCCACTCGAGACTCCACTACACCAACATTCTTGCTTTGGATCTGAGGAATTTAGAACTTGGCTTGAAAAGTTATGAAGCTTCTTCTCAAATTTTTCTCTAAATTTGAGGCTCGAAAAAATATAAGCAAATCATAGAATCTGATAGTTGAAAATGCTCAAAAACTCTGTGTTTGTCATTGTATTTTAGCTCCAAATTTGATTTGACAAAATCAAAATAGCTGTAAATGAGAATAATGAGATTGGAGGATTGAGGGGCCTATAGAATCTGAAATTCTTTCTTGAAAATCTCATTTTTATAATCTTCAAAATCTTGTCCATAGAAAATAAACACATGACATTGTTCTGATGATCTGAGGATTTAGGATTCATTTTCATAACTTCTGTGTAGCGAGATTTCTTCAGATTTCCTTAAATCTCCCAAGATTTCGTTAGATCTCCCTAATTTTTCAGGGATTGAATATCAGCACTAGTGAACAGCCCTCGGAACAGCCAGAACACAACTCCTGCATGTGTATTTTCTCTTGATCTACTACTTTCCTGGCAATATCAAAGCTACATTTATTACAAATTACAATATGATATTTTTATTTCAGTGAAAAACCTGATGATATGATAATATATATCCTATTCACAATCTGTAGTCCAAAGGTACAGGTAAATTTATCACCTTTCCCTATCAACTAGCATTGAAAGGTGATAAATTCAATGGTAAATTTTATCTGTACCTGTGGACTACAGATTGTGAATAGATAATACTCTCGAATATTCTAAACTCAATTCTCAATCAATAGAAAATATTCCTCAGATTTCCCCAGATATCTCTCATATCTGCCATAGATTTCCTCAGTTTTCCTTAAATCTCCCCATATTTCCTTCAGATTTTCCTGAATGTCCCCAGATTTGCTTTTGATTGATTCTTCCCTTCCTGACATCTGGAAAGCTGTCGAATCACTTTGAACTAGTTATTCTGGCTTCTGGAGTGCTGTAAAGTAGATTTAAAGTCTCCTAGATAATAGAGTATCTACTGACTTCTAGTGCACTGTAGAGTTGCTCTAAATTATTTTTGCTGGCTTCTGAAGCTCTATGGAGTGAATTGAGACATTCCTAGCTTGTGGGTGTTGTATAATCATTCAGGATTTATTCTCATGGCTATTGTGGAGTTTGTAAGGCACTCTTCTGGCTGGTAGGGCGCTCAAAACTTTGGCGCAGTGAAGTAGGTATACCTTTTCGGATTCTCCTGGTTTTGTGGATTTACTATTGATTGATTCTCCTGCTTTAGAGCTACTTTGGGGTAGTTTTTCTGGCTTGGATGATATTTCTATGTAGATTCACTTCAGATTGTTTCTAATGGCCTCTGCAACACTATAAGAGTCAATGTAAATTATTTCTCAAAATATGAATAAGTTTGGAACAATTTCCTTTCAAAATCTTCACTTTGAAGCTTGACATATTGAGGACTGTTGAAGCTATGGAATCCAAACAAGCATCGTTTCTTAGAGCATTTAATCCTCGATTTAATCTCTATTGAAAATGTTGGGTTGACATTATAATTTAAATCAAAATTAATAGAGCTACCTACAACCAATGAAATAATTTAATTGACTCTTGCTCATTACTTTATTAAATTTCTCGGCAATTCTCTCATATTTTTGAACAGCTCATCAGCTAAAAATGAGTGAATTGCTGCTCTTTACTCATTATGTTTTTAAGTTTTGGCTTCTCAGACTAATAATGTGTCTCCATAGAATTTGAACGCATCGTCTTTGGTAATCTTCATAATCTCTTTGAAGTCGTTTTTGGGCTGATTGGCCTGATTTGCTCATAAAAATCCAAATTTTGGGGTAAATCGCCAATGTTTTCTTATGTATTTATATGTATTCCTTTGTGTTCTCATGTATTCTTGCGCTTAGATTTCTTATGTATTCCTTTGTGTTCTTAGGTATTTCTTTATTCTTATATACTCACTCGTTACTCGTTTGTACTTCGTGTATTCAGTGTACAAATTTGGCTTCTGGTTGGCGGTTTACCCCTCAGAAGAAAAGAAAACTGTGAAAAACAATAAATTTAAATTTAAAAAAAAAGAGAATATTTTTCCTATTTGTGAAACTATTGAAGCTACATTCAAACAATTATTATTAGAGATTTGTAGAGGATTTAATTGGCCTTAATTCGAGCATAATTACCTTAAAATCAGGTTAAAATTATCAACATTGTTAGACAAACTGTGTGTTGGTGTCATTTTGGATAAACATCTAAATCAGAAGACTTTGAAGCTTTGCAGCTACAAAACTATTGAAGTTGCATTAAAATCATTCACGGGAGCCTAATCACATTAAGATGGGATTGAAATTAACAAAGTTGTGAGATAAAATGTGTGTTGGTGTCATTTTGGATAAACATCTAAGTCAAAAGACTTTGAAGCTTTGCAGCTGCAAAACTATTGAAGTTGCATTGAAATCATTTAGAGGAGATTTGTAGGGAATTTAATTGGCTTCAATTGAAGTCTAATTACATTAAGATCGTATTGAAATTAACAAAGTTGTTAGACAAAATGTGTGTTGGTGTCATTTTGGATAAAAATCTAAGTCAGAAGACTTTGAAGCTTTGCAGCTGCAAAACTATTGAAGTTGCATTAAAATCATTCACGGGATTCACAAATTTATTATACCTAAGAATGGTTGAATTACAGTAACAATTACAATACAGTAAAGTGTACCTAATATACATAAATGCAATATACAAGAAATTTTCTAAAAAAGGAAACGGAAAGCCAGTAGGTTAGGTTGTATCTACTACTTAATTCAAAATTTTATTAAATGCTATCAAATTATGAAAAATATATTTTTTCGATTCCTTTGCAAATAATTTATATTTCTGTATTTTTCTGATCTCCATTGGCACAATATTATAAGCTTTAGGGACAGTATAAATGAAGAATCTACGGGAAATATTTTTATGAAATCTACGAGTTGACAATAACTCATTCGATGTACTGATACACAGAGTTACATTGAATTTGAGTAGGGAGATTTTTGAGTGCATGGATACATATTTTATGAAAATATAAGGTGCGAATATTATATACCTCCTCTGTATAGAGCAGACTAGTAGTATATCTTCTTTGTTTTCTATAAATTATTTTCCTCCCCAATATGCTCATCTAAGCCCTGAACACAGACACTATTATACTGTGGTTTGTTAGCATCTGATAGAGTGTAGGCAAGATAGTGTGTTTTATCAAAGTTTAGCGACAAATAGTTGAAGTTTAGCCAATTTTTAATTTTTTCCATGCCCATTTGCACAGCCAATTTGGTTTCCTCCCATGTTGCCACTGTATCGTCTGTGTACGCAACAATTTTTACGTCAGTAATAAGAGATAACACTAAATTGATACACAGCAAAAAGAGTATGGGTTCAAGGACTGTTCCCTGGGGGACGCCTATTTTAATAGTTTCTGGATTACTAAGTGTATTACCAATCGTGACATACTGCATTCTATCTGTCAAATAGCTCCAAAAGACGTCTAACACCGAGCCACGTATCCCAGAGCGTTTTAGATTTTCATAATCTCAAGATTATTTGAAATTTTCGTTTATTTTATTGGAAATCGACTGAACGCTTTCGAAATTAAAAACCAACCGTTTTCTATTGATTTTATTACATGACCCTTAACTCTAATAATGCTAAAAACTAGAAGTACCTAACTTAGGGGGTAATTCCCACCATCTGGAAAAGTAGGTACTCTTGTCTTTGATGGCAAGAATAAGTACCCTTTATGAGTTATATTTTTTTATATTCACAATAATTGGGGTTTCTGCAATTCAAGTACCTACTGACAAAAGGAAACATCTTGAGCAATGAGTTATAAACTCGGTTATAAAGTACCTTTTTGAAAAAGGGATTAACTAAACTAGACTGATAGTGGAATTTTTTAAAGAGGAAATGTAATGGATATACCTAAGTATTATTAAAATAATAAAATGATGAATTTACTGGTTTACAACAAAAGCTTCCACCTAGGAAACTATTTAAGCTGCATCAAAACTATTATGCCCGTATTACATCTGTGTATTTTTCCATGTATTTATTCATGTAGTTCAGGGTGACAACTGAAAAAATTCAAATGCAACATAAATCAGCATTATGAAAAACAAAATAATGTTGGCACCCTGAACTACATGAATAAATACACAGATGTAATACGGGCATTGGTATTAGAGATTGAAAATGAAGCTGTGAAAATATTAAAACTAATAATCTGAGGATTATTCCATGAAATACTTCAAACCTTTCTGTATTTATTAAAAAGTTTACTTAATAAATTTAGCATTTTTCAATGAAATCTCAAACACTTTTAAACCGACGATTAAGAAAGCAATTAAGTCCGAAATAACGAATTTAACGGCCTTGGTGCAAATCAGAGCACAAAGGTAATCGAACCGTCAAGGATTACAACCACGAACACAAATTTTTTCTCTTGGTTGAATTTACTCAAAATACAAATCCCTCCAGAAGGATTTATTTCCCGAGGTCAAAGGAAACCTTTTACTCGGGTCAAGTTCAATCGATTTTCCTTTCTCTTGCAGCATCCCACAAGGACTTAAGTATTATTTATGGGATTTTCCAGACTTATGAATCAGCGGTCCAGACGAATTATTATTATTATTTTATTCCAGGATGTCAACGACTGTTGGGGCTCATTCCGGGGCCGGTCCCCTGAGCCTGATGTCTTGCGTGCGCGAGTCTTCGCCCCTGCAAGACTACGAGACCGACATTGAGAAAAACGGTAAGAAATTTTTTTCTTTTATTAAATCTTGGTACCATCGCATCAGCTGAAATGGGGCCAGCTAACGGTACTTTTGTTTTGTGGGCGGACTAGGATATTGATTATTTTATTATGAAATTTTCTTGTTTGTACATTTTCCTTTATTATTGAAGCTGCTACTATAAAGTATTGAAATTGGCGCATTTCCAGCGGCTATAAATAAACAAAAACTGAACCGATTGCATACCGCTTTAATGTCCCTGCCTGGTGGCCAAGGAATCTTGTTTGTTGCAGAAAATGCGGAAACTAAAATATAATGGTTTTTTTTTTGAAGTTTGCAAAAAAATTGCCATTAGCTCAAAAGCTCTATGAGCTGCTCTTACAATTTTAGCACAGATTTATAGAGAATTGTGAAAAATGCCCTTTTTAACCATATACAGTGTTGCCAATAATGCCAATGACCCGATAATTATCGAATTCTACCATAATTTTGACTACGATTTAGTTATCGATAATGACAAGCTAATCTACCGTAATTTATTGAAACTACAATTTTAATATAGATTTTTCAAATTTTTAGTTAAAAATTAATAATTTATTAAAAAATTGAAGCTGGTTGGTTGTTGGTTTTGAGTGTTTTGACGTACTGGTGCGAGCACCAAACACTAGTCCCAGATTGAGCCAAAGTTTCATGCCCATAACTTTACTGGTTTCCAAAATATGGCCCTTTGAAATATTTGGAAATCAAAGGACCCCGCACACATCTTATGGGTTTTTGGTTTTCTGTCAAACTCAATGAAATTTTGATATGTGATATATCTTGACTTACTGATAAAAAGTTCTCATGGGCCCAACCCGATACTATGATTAGTTTCCGAAATACAGGTGGTTTAATGTTCAAGAAATGTACACATTTTATATGCATTCACATCTACCTGTCACCTATTATTAGGTCTGTCAGAGTGAATTTCATTGGTTGTAACTAGTTTTCTGACTGTTTCTGACTGTTTTCGACCAATCAAATTCGCTCTGACAAGTTTGTGATTTTTGCAGAAACAGACCTATTATTAGGTGACAAGTAGATTGTGAATACATATAAAATGTATACATTTCTTGGACATAAAAGTACCTGTATCTCAAAAACTAATCATAGGATTGGTTCGGGCCCATGAGAACTTTTTATCAGGAAGTCAAGGTCTAACACATATCAAAATTTCATTGAGTTTAACAGAAAACCAAAAACCCATAAGAGGTGTGCGGGGTCCTTTCCATGTATACCCCTTTGGAAAAATTCGAATTTTTAAATTTTTAGATTTTGCAATGTTTGACTTTACCAATCAGAAGAGGAGATCCAAATTAGTGAAAAAACATTTTTGCAACTTTGTTTTTAGAGTTTTAAAGCCTTGTTAAAAAATAAAAACGATTTTTGCAATTTTTGGGATCAAAAAATTTTGATAATCTGACATTCTTTCACAAAATTGCTAATCACTCGGTTATTATTGTTACAAATATAATGTAAAATTATATATTCTGAATCAGAATTAAATTATCTTCACGATAAAATAAGACTCAATTCCATATCTTTAATACTTCTCGAGATATTGAGGCTCAAAGTTGCAACTTCACCTCAAATTTTGCAAAAGCTTCCAGGCGGATTATCTTGAAAACAAAGCCCATGGGCTCGAAGTCTTAAATAACCTTTTTTGTAGCCCTTATTAAGAGCTACAATTGGGCAAAAGATTCATGCCAATAGCTTCACTAGTTTCCAAAATATGGCCCTTTGAAATATTTGAAAATCAAATTTCCATGCATACCCCTTTGGAAAAATTCGAATTTTTAAATTTTTAGATTTTGCAGTGTTTGACTTTACCAATCAGAAGAGGAGATCCAAATTAGTGAAAAAGCATTTTTGCAACTTTGTTTTTAGAGTTTTAAAGCCTTGTTAAAAAATAAAAACGATTTTTGCAATTTTTGGGATCAAAAAATTTCAATAATCTGACATTCTTTCACAAAATTGCTGATTACTGGGTTATTATTGTAACAAATATAATATAAAATTATATATTCTGAATCAAAATTAAATTATCTTCACGATAAAATAAGACTCAATTCCATATCTTTAATACTTCTCGAGATATTGAGGCTCAAAGTTGCAACTTCACCTCAAATTTTGCAAAAGCTTCCAGGCGGATTATCTTGAAAACAAAGCCCATGGGCTCGAAGTCTTAAATAACCTTTTTTGTAGCCCTTATTAAGAGCTACAATTGGGCAAAAGATTCATGCCAATAGCTTCACTAGTTTCCAAAATATGGCCCTTTGAAATATTTGAAAATCAAATTTCCATGCATACCCCTTTGGAAAAATTCGAATTTTTAAATTTTTAGATTTTGCAGTGTTTGACTTTACCAATCAGAAGAGGAGATCCAAATTAGTGAAAAAGCATTTTTGCAACTTTGTTTTTAGAGTTTTAAAGCCTTGTTAAAAAATAAAAACGATTTTTGCAATTTTTGGGATCAAAAAATTTCATTGATCTGACATTCTTTCACAAAATTGCTGATTACTCGGTTATTATTGTAACAAATATAATGTAAAATTATATATTCTGAATCAAAATTAAATTATCTTCACGATAAAATAAGACTCAATTCCATATCTTTAATACTTCTCGAGATATTGAGGCTCAAAGTTGCAACTTCACCTCAAATTTTGCAAAAGCTTCCAGGCGGATTATCTTGAAAACAAAGCCCATGGGCTCGAAGTCTTAAATAACCTTTTTTGTAGCCCTTATTAAGAGCTACAATTGGGCAAAAGATTCATGCCAATAGCTTCACTAGTTTCCAAAATATGGCCCTTTGAAATATTTGAAAATCAAATTTCCATGCATACCCCTTTGGAAAAATTCGAATTTTTAAATTTTTAGATTTTGCAGTGTTTGACTTTACCAATCAGAAGAGGAGATCCAAATTAGTGAAAAAGCATTTTTGCAACTTTGTTTTTAGAGTTTTAAAGCCTTGTTAAAAAATAAAAACGATTTTTGCAATTTTTGGTCTCAAAAAATTTCCATAATCTGACATTCTTTCACAAAGTTGCTGATTACTCGGTTATTATTGTGACAAATATAATGTAAAATTATATATTCTGAATCAGAATTAAATTATCTTCACGATAAAATAAGATTCAATTCTATATCTTGAATACTTCTGAAGATATTGAGGCTCAAAGTTGAAATTTTGTCTCAAATTTTGCAAAAGCTTCTAGGCGGATTATCTTGAAAACGAAGCCCTTGTGCTCGGACTTTTAAAATAACCTTTTTCGTAGCCCTTATTAAGAGCTACAATTGGGCAAAAGATTCAGGCCAATAGCTTCACTGGTTTCCAAAATACAAGCATTTGAAATATTTGAAAATCCAATTTCCATGCATACCCTTTGGAAAAGTTCGAATTTTAAAATTTTTGGATTTTGCAATTTTTGACTTTACTAATCAAAAGAGGAGATCAAAATTAGTGGAAAAGCATTTTTGCAACTTTGTTTTTAGGGTTTTAAGGCTTGTAAAAAAAAAAAAACGATGTTTGCAATTTTTGGGATCAAAAAATTTCAAAAATCTGACATTATTTCACAAAATTGCTGATTACTCGGTTATTATTATAACAAATATGATGAAAAATTATATATTCTAAATCAGAATTAAATAATCTTCAAGATAAAATAAGATTCAATTCTATATCTTAAATACTTTTGAAGATATTGAGGCTCAAAGTCAAAACTTTGTTTCAAATTTTGCAAAAGCCGATTATCTTGAAAACGAAGCCCTTGAATAACCTTTTTTGAAGCTCTTATTGAGAGCTAAAATTGAAGAGTCCCAGCTAGAAACCGAACAATGAAAATAGAGATAAAAATTCAAAAAAGTTGACAGAAACTTTTTCTGATAATTTTGTTCTCAAATCCTGATAATTTTAAATTTAACTCTGACAATATTGACCATATACATATAATTTATGCTCATTAGTGGACAAATCTCAAAATATTCTTATTGTCAAGTTCAAAGCGACTAATAACATGTGTCACAAAGCACAATTACCTTTAGAAACCAATTAAACATTTTACAACATCGATTAATTAACTGTAAAAAGTCGAGATAACGATTTTTAATTGATGCCTGATTCAAGTATTGCAAAGATAAGGAACCTGAATTGCAAATCATTTAGTTTGTGTGTGGACATCGTGATGCCTAGTCTCAGAAGATCGTTTTCCTGGTCCCCCAACGAGGATTATTATCAAGAATTTATTGGCTGTAAGTTTTAATTTGAATAATCATGTGAGCAGACATAGACAATGGGGCTTTATATAAGGGCCATTGTCCTTGCCCTCTGTGTGCATGAATGATAGTACCTACAATAATGGGGATTTATTTTGCCACTAGAAAAAAGTAATCTAGGTTTGTAACACTTAGAATCATGTACCTACATTGTTGTTAACCTGCCTAGTCAAGCGAATTAATTAAAATAAAATTGTTGTTACCTTTGTCATTTAAAGCTCTATTATTTATTTATTTTTTCTGTGTAATAAAATGGTTAGTTTGGTTGCGTCCGTTCTATTCGGTAGGCGTTACGTGGAAAGTTGTCCGCGTGTAAATTCGAATCTGGGCCAAAAAACAATGTGCATTTGTCATAGGAAATATTATGTTGGTGAGTGTGAGCTTGTATTTCGAAAGTTTAAAGTTGTAATTTACTTGTTTTTGATTCAATTGCTTTGGATTTTTGGGATAATTTGCCTCAAAGGTTCATTAACAATTCCTGAAAATTTTATTTTTCCAGCTTTCGTAGTTTTAGAATAAATAGGTAATTAGGATTTGGAGGCTTTAATAAAGTTACGAAAAAAGTGTAGTTGCTTAGAAAACTTGTGACTTTGTTGTATTTTGTTCAATTGATTTAGATTTTTAGTATGTTTTGCCTCAAAGACTCAAAAATATTTCCTCCAAATCTCATGTTTGCGCCTTAAGTAGTTTTCCAGTAAATAATTAA